ACTGGAAGCAGTGTTGGCAGAGCTGGAACCATAACTTGAGGCAGTCTTGACAGAGCTCGATCCATAACTGGAAGCAGGCCGAGAGCTCGAGCCATAACTGGAGGCAGTGTTGACAGAGCTCGATCCATAACTTGAGGCAGTCTTGACAGAGCTCGATCCATAACTGGAAGCAGTGTTGGCAGAGCTTGAGCCGTAGCTGGAAACAGGGCGAGAGCTGGAGCCATAACTTGAGGCAGGGCGAGAACTTGATCCATAACCTGAGCCATAACTTGACGCAGTGTTGGCAGAGCTGGAGCCATAACTAGAAGCAGGACCAGAACTCGATCCATAACTTGAGGCCGTGTTAGCAGAGCTGGAACCATAATTTGGGGCAGAGCTAAAGTAGGAAACAGAAGCTGAGCTTTGGCTTGCAAAAATCGAGCTAGAACCATAACTAGGTACTTGACTGGTGCTATAAATAGGCGCTGGGCTGGAAGAAGCAGAGCTGGGCGACACACTCGTATAACTCGAAGCCCCGCTGGTCGGCACAGAGCTATAACTTGGGGCCGATTGTGAGTTGCCGTTGCTGGTGTAGGAGCCGGCACTGCTCTGGCCAGAGGTCGGGATAACAGAGGATGGGTTCACTTGATGACCTGAGGAGCGAGTGGCCGATGAAAATGTCTGGTCCGATTGCGTCGACCTGGAAGTAGCGGACGAAGAAGAGTCGCCGTCGCCTGGCTCTGGGTTACTGTCCCGCGGCACACAATGCGCGAACCACAAGTTTTGGTACTCACAGCGGTGGCTTCTGCTGCAACAGCGTGTTGGGCCCGCCCATAAAATGCCTCCACATTGGTGGCCATCAGGACTACACCATCGGTCAAAGGCAGTCGCCGACATCGCCCAAAGCAGAGCCGAAAACACAAGGTGGAAAAGCATGAGTATCAAGGATTTTCAAAGTTCGAATGGTGCTGCAGAACTGGGAAAAAGGACGCCTTTTTATTTACTCTCCGAGAGACGCATCGTCAGATGCAGCACGTCCCATACCGCTGGAAACGAGCACTTCTCTTGACCCTTCAAGCTTGGAATACAGGCAAATTGGTTGCACCCATAGATCCGGCTGCAGGATGTACAGAAAAACTTATCGCCCCATGCATATGTCTGCTATTGTCAGGTTGCATTGCTGTCCCGTTTATGCAAACGTTAGCGAAGCGAAACCCTATTCAAGCAAACGAGCTGCATCCAACACACTACGAAAACAGAAACATTCCAGATCTCTTTGGCCACATCTTAATACCGCGGCAAGCTTGAGAGCCACAGGACCAGCGCTCTACCCACGACAAGCGCTTCGCCCCGTGCTTGTGCCAAAAGCATTGAGTACCACAAGAACCGTGCGCTGGGGTGGAGCTCATGCACTTTGGCAAGATCTTCACCTCCTTTCGACCTTTGTGGACGATGCAGACCGACCCACGATTACGTTATATGGCAAAGGGCTCGTCCTCTCACAGGGAGAGCAATGTCTGCTCAAAACACAGCCTTGAGGATCTTCGATCTGAGCACAATAGATCAGCGAATAATTGAAAAAAAATTCGCCAGGCCGAAACCGGCATCATATCTGTTCTCCCCACGCAAGCCGCCCATCATTAGGAAGGGGGATGCCACAGAGACCAGAGACCGCACACAGGTTGCGACTCCAGCAGCAACGACACATGGCGACTCAGGCTCCCAACGCAGGGAGCCGCCTTTTTGTGCGGTTCTCCGGTCGCCCTGCAAAGAGAGAACTTTGTCAGAACCATAGTGAGTGTCTTGCAGCAGACAGAGAATGTTGGATGTCTGGACGTGCGGCTGAAACCGTTGTTTTGTTCTCTCGGTTCACTGGCATGCACATGCATGCATATGCATATTCCTCCTGCGTGGTCTGCACGAGCAGCCAGCATGTATGGAAACCAGTCAAATTTAAGCGGTCGCACAGCCTGCATGTAAAGATTTTTTTACCAGTCCCAGGCAGCAATCAGCTGAAAGTCTGCAGGATTTGTTCACCCTCACTATGTACACTGTCTAGATTCGCCACTAATCGGGGATTTCCAGCCGAATTACTCTCCAGAACCAAGCGAAACCTTGGTCCAGTCCACACCCGGGTCACCACCAATTATCGTATTGCTCAGCCGCCTTGGGAAGTACTTGCGTCCCACAATAGCAGCCCTATGCAAGTCGCAGTCGAGCAGACTCTCCCTGCGGACTTGTTTCATTTCGTCGTCCAAGTCGTAATTGAAATGGGAGGCGCCCTCGCTGCGCACGCTCACTGGAGCGTCGATGCTCTGGAAAACGCTCAGCTTCGCCTGTCCCAGGTCCTCTGGCGTGATCTGCCCGCTCTCGATCATGTCCACTATTTTTTCCATGCTCCGCTCAAACGTTCCGATCGACCGTACAGGATTGGGGTCGCGGAAACTGTAGTACGCAAAAATGCCGTTCAGGGCGTCATACGTCGCACCACCGCCGTAAGCCCCGCCTTTCTCGCGGACCTCGCTGTGCAAATGCTTGAACGTGCTCAGCTGGGCCAGTATCTGCAGAGCCGGGCCGTCGTCGCCGGCGTACGACGATCCCAATGCCACCGCTGCTGCAAAGCTTACCTGAGCAGGAATCTCAACTAGGCGGTCTTGAACGGCCTGTTGCATCTCCATCTCGTACGCCCGCGCGGCGTGCTGCAGCTGGAACCGCTCGCCGTACTGGGCAACCAGCTTCTCCTGCGTCGATGCGGTCGCTCTATCGGTCGTGACGGCGAACTTGAAGTTCGAGCCCGAAAGCAGAACGCTCTGGATCCGTTTCAGAGCATCAGAAACTTCGTCCAGCCGGTTCTGCTCGTCCAAACCCCGCAACTCGTTCAAGAACTGCACCTGCTCAATTCCCCCCAGCAGCTGCTGCAGCTGCGCAGACTTCGACAGCTGCGCAGCAGAGTACCCGCGCGCGTAGCTGTGGCCGCTGCTGACGATTGCGCTGATGTTGTCGCTCGTCAGTGTCTTCACCAGCACGCTCAGCTTGTCGTGGTTGTCGAAGTCGGTCTCGGCGAGCAGCTGGTAAGATAAGTCGAGCAGCCGTTCGAAGTTCCCGTTGAGCGCCACGCCGTTCAGCCCAAACTTCAGATACGCCGTGTCCAGGTCGTCGGGCGAGCTGTGCGAAAACACCGTCGGCGAAATGCCCCCCGTGTACAGCTTGATCTCGTCCTCCAGCTGGGCCATGGACTTGTTTTTCGTGCCCAGGTTCGTCAGACAGTCCGTGAACAGCGGCAGGTACTTCACCAGCTCCAGCGGCAGCTCCGCGGACGACACCGTCTTGAGCGACCGGAAATACGTCAGCCCGTTCGTCTTGGGCGACACGCGCGTCTGCAGCTCGACGCCGCCCGTATTTTTCAGGTTCAGGCGCACGCTGTCGCCGTCCCTGTTGATGTCGGCCGTCGACAGCGTCGGCAGGCACGACAGGTCCTCCTGCTTGCTCTGGTTCTCCAGCAGCTTCAGTCCCCGCTGGTACAGCACCTCTCTGTCATTCTCGTCCAGCGTGGAGATCTTCTTTTCCAGCCGCTGCTGCTCCTCGTCAGAGATCTGTTTTTCCAGCCCTTCGTCTGGGAACATGGTGTAGTGGAAGTGCGGGGCGCCCAGAATGTACTTGTCGATGCGCTCTGCGAACATGGCGTCGCCGCGCTTCTCGTACTCCTGCCTGAACCGGCCAATCACGCTGTCCCATTTGAGCATCTCGAGCGGGTCCACCCGGTTGACCCAGCCCGGCACGAGCGAGCTCAGCAGGTTCAGCCCGAACGACGCGCTCTCCACCTTGCGGCCCAGCTCCAGCTGGTGGATCATGGCGTCGATTTTTTCCCGCGCAAACCCGGCCGTCCTGGCCCGCTGCACAGCGTCTCTCACCGTCTCGGGCAGCGTTCCAGCCGTCTCCTCGCTCATGCCCTGCAACCCCACGCTGAGCATGTTCACGTCTGTCATCGAGTCCATGCCCGAGTTGATGCTGAAGTCCGTGCCCCGCCCGGTCTCGATCAGCTCCTGGTACAGCGGCGACGAGTGGCCGTCGATCAGCAGGTTCGACACGAGCCGCATCACAAACGTCTCGTACACGTCGTCCGGCCGGCCGCAGTACCACGTCAATGAGCCCTTGTACTGTCTTTCGCGCGGCAGAAGCGGGTCCACAGGGCCCGCCACGCGCAACGAGGCGTTACTGCGCAGCTCAACGGGCTGCTTCACGTCCTGGCGCCGCTGGCGCCGCCCAAACCGCGTGTACTTCTCGTTGATCCGCGCCAGGTGCCTCTCCAGCGGCAGGCTGCCGTACGTGAACGTGGCGCCGTTGGACGGGTGGTAGTATCTGGCGTGGAAGTCCACCAGGTCTTCGTACACCAGGTCCGTCATCTTGGCCGGATCGCCGCCCGAGTTGTGCAGCGAGGGGTAGATCGCCTCCTGGAACTTGATCCAGAACCAGTACCCGGCATCCGACATCTGGCCCTTCATCTCGTTGTACACCACGCCCTTGAAACACAGCGGACTGGCCCGGTCCTTGGTGTCCTCGTGCTCCAGCCGCCAGCCCTCCTGGTAGAAGTCGTCCTCGGACAGCAGCGGGTTCAGCGTCGCGTCCAGATACACGTCCATCAGATTGTAGAAGTCCGTGCGGTTCGTGGTGGCAAACGGGTAGAACGTGTAGTCGTGGCCGGTCATGGCGTTCATGAAGTTGGCGAGCGACCTGTTGAGCATCTTGAAGAACGGGTCGCGCACGGGGTACTTCTCGGACCCGCACAGCGTGGTGTGCTCCAGGATATGGGGCAGCCCCGTGCTGTCGGGCGGGTTTGTCTTGAACACCACGCTGAAGACGTTGTTCTTGTCCTGACGGTCGATGTGCAGGTGGCTGGCGCCGGTGCGCTCGTGGACGAGGTCGACGGCCGTGAGGCTGAACTCCGGCACGTCGAGCGCGCGGCGCACCACGAAGCCGTGGACGCGGTCGCCCAGAGGGTATTTTCCGCGCGCAGCAGTGGCAAATCGACGCAGCGACATAAAAAAAAAAGAACAAAATGAACAAAGTGAAGAAAATAAAATAAAATACTAAATAATTACTTGTTCTTCTCTGTTCATGTTGCTTACTTTTTTGCTGCTGGCCGTCGCGTGCGTCGCCGAAAAGGTCGAATTGACCTCGTCCGCAGCAGAGTACTGCACGGGAATGTACTCGAGGCACGACTGGGGCGGGCCGGTCGACCCGTTCATCAAGGTCGACGTCAAGAGGTTCGCCTCGGACGACGCCGCCCAAAGCCCGCTCTCGCTCATCGTGTTTGAGTACAGAGACCTCGACTACATCGGCGTGCGCGACAACTCTACAGGAATGACCCACTACGTGTGCACGCCGGAGCTCGTGCAGGAGGCGTTGTGTCCCAGTGACCAGCTCAACCAGTTCATCGTGCTCTCCAACACGTCCGGCTCGAATCTGATCAGCACCGCGCAGCTCACGGAGCTCGGCACCAACGGCTACAGCTACCACGTCGCCAACACGGGCTACTACTGCGTCGCCGTGTACGACCCGCAGGTTTCTGCCAAGGGCTCGTTCAGCGTGATCGTCAACTTCCACAACGCGTACGGCAACCTGCCCGCGTCGGAGATCCCGAAACTGCCGCTGTACGGGCTTCTGGCGGTCGTCTACGCCGTGTGTTTGAGCGTGTACCTGTTCCAGGTGTTCAAGCACCGGTCGGAGCTGCTTCTGCTGCAGAAGTATCTCGCGGGCTTTTTCGTGTTCCTCACCGTCGAAAACATCCTCGTGTGGTCGCTGTACGACGTGGAAAACAACAACAAGAAGTTCCCGATCCCAGACGGCATCAAGTTCTACATGTCGTTTGTGTCGATGCTGAACGCGTTCCGGATCTCGTTCTCGCTGTTTCTGCTGCTGATCATCTCGCTCGGCTACGGCGTCGTGTACCCGAAACTGCAGCGCAACGTGATGAACAAGTGCAAGCTGCTGGCGGCGACGCATTTCGTCGTCAGCACCGTCTACATCTGGTTCTCGTACTACTCGAGCCAGGTCCAGCCGTCCGACACCACCACGCAGACGGCCAAGGCGTCCAGCACGATCGAGTCGAACTCGTGGCTCGTGATCGCGGTCACGCTGCCGCTGGCCGTCCTGATGGTGGTGTTCTACTTTCTGATCCTCTCGTCGCTGCAGAAGACCGTCAAGCTGCTCACCGAGAAGAAGCAGGTCGTCAAGCTCAAGATGTACAGGAACCTGTTCAAGCTCATCTTCTTCTCGATGCTGCTCATGCTGTTTGCGCTCATCATCAACGTCGTCCTCATCTTCAACGACTCGCTCACAGAGTCGATCGAGAGACTCTGGAAGTTCAGCGACGTTCTCACAGACTTCTGGCCCGCCTGCATCTACTTCATCGTGTTTATCGGGCTGGCCATCATCTGGCGACCAACGGACTCGTCTTATCTGCTTGCTGCGTCCTCGCAAATCCCGACAAGCGACAACGGCGAGATCGACCCCGAGGACCCGCAGGAGGTCTACAACAACCTCGACCAGTTTGGCAACGAGTTTGAGTTCGACGACCTGCGCAGTCTCGAGAGCGGCAATCCGTTTGACGACCGCACAGCTGCGGAGCACAGCCCGGAAAACCCGTTCCAGGACCCGGAGCACAAGCCGGACAGCGACCACTTCAAGATAGACGACGACGACGAGCACGAGGTGCCGAGAGAGGACACGAGTAAATAAATAGGCGAATAGAGGTGAACGGAGTATGGTTGGTAATTGAGGTGTGGGGAGGTGTGAGCCAGCTGCGGGCGAGCTGAGGCATGTACATGGTGAGCTGCCAAACCGAAAAGGCACAAGTCGCGTAAATGGTTTAGTGGTAAAATTCGTCGTTGCCATCGACGAGCCCCCGGTTCGATTCCGGGTTTACGCATTTAGTTTTTCAAAAAATTAAATCCACTATTTTTTTATTTTCCATGTCTAAGGTATCGCTCCAGGAACGCTACAACAAGTTCACCAAGGCGGCCAAGTACAACCTCAACTCGGAGGAGCTATTTTGTGTGTGTCGGCGCGCGGACGACGGCGAGCTGATGGTGGCGTGCGACGGCTGCGACGAGTGGTTCCATTTCTCGTGCATGAAGCTCGACCCCAAATACAAAGACCTTGTGAGCAATTTTTACTGCATTTTCTGCGACGAACTGCTGCACAGGGGCTCCACGCTGTGGAAGAAGAAGTGCAGGCTGGCCGACTGCTACAAGCCGGTCCGGATCGACGCAGAGTCGCAGAAAGCGTCGAAATACTGCAGCGACGAGCACGGCGTCGAGTTCATGCGCAGCGAGCTGCTGAAGAGGTTCAGCGGGTCCAGCAAGGAGTGCCGGCTGCGCGAGCCGGAGATCGCGAGCGTGGTGTGCGGAGTGGCCGACTTGGACGAGTTCCGCGTGCTGGGAGACAGCATGCCCGTGTACGAGGGCATGGACGAGGACATGCCGGAGGAGCTGGCGCGGCGCGTGGCGCAGCTGGACACGGAGCTGGCCGAGCTGCGCCGCACCGAGGCGCTGTACACGTCGAAGGAAAAGTACCTGCTGAAGCTGCGCGACAAGATCCGGCTGGTGAACGAGGTGCTGGCCGGGACGGAGCCGGAGCCGGCGAAAAAGGGCAAGAAGCCCAAAGTCGACGTGTGTGGCTACGACGCGGCGCTCGTGCTCGACGACGAGCAGTGGCGCGCGTACGAGGCGAGCGACGAGTGCAAAAAGACGCTGCAGCTCGCCGGCTGGGCCGATCTGGACGCGACGCCGGAACAGGCGCGCGAGGCGTACCGCGCGCAGCAGCCGTTTGCCGGGCTGTGCATGGCGGAGCGCAAGAAGTGTGTGCGGCACCTGACGTGGTACAGCATCCAGTACGACGCGGTGATGTTGAGGTTGAACGAGGTGCTATATAGGGTGGCGCAGCTCGAGCGCGCGAAAGACGTCGTGGCGCAGCAGTGGCGCAGCCAGCTTCTAGACAGATAGTACGTACGCAATGCTACTCCTCGTCCTCGCGCTGGTCGACGTGGCGCGGGCGCCAGACCTCCACCAGGCCGTCCTCGGCGCAGCTGGCCACCACGTTGTCCAGCGCAGGGTGCCAGTCGGCCTCGCAGATGCGGCCCGTGTGGCCCCCGTGCATGAACACCAGACACGGGTCTGTGTAGTCGCCCTTCTTGCGTTCGTGCTCCTTGACGTCGAACTCGCCCTCGCGGATGTGGCACAGGTCCCACACCAGCACGCGGCGGTCGCTGGACGACGACAGCAGCAGGTTTTCGCGGAACTTGAGATCCACCACAGAGCCTGCGTGGCCGTACAGTTTGCGCGTCGGCTGCTCCATCAGACGCAGGTCCCAGCAGTTTATCAGGTTGTCCGACGACCCTGTCGCCAGCAGCGGGCCCACGTCCGGGTGGAACGCCACCGCGTTGAGCGGGCCGTCGTGCGCGTTGGCTACGGCCACCACGGGCCGCGGCGCGCGCAGATCGTGGATCTGCAGCGACAGGTCGTCGCTCGCCGACGCCACCACGCTGCTGTGCTGCTTGCTCCACGCCACGTCGTTCACAATGCCCGTGTGCGTGTGGAACACCCGCGTCGGCACGTCTGCGTCCATGCTCCACAGAGCGACCGTGTGGTCCTCGGAGCTCGACAGAAGCTGGTTCTGCGCGAAGTTCGGGTTCCACTCCAGCCCGAAGCCCTCCTTGGTGTGGTGTTTGAGCGTCTTGACCTGCCCGCCGTGCTCTGGGTCGTAGATCAGCACATCGCCGCTGTTGGTCTGGGTGGCCACTAGCCCGGTCTCCTGGTTCACACGCAGCTTGTTGATCTCACCCGGGTGCGGCCACTCGCGCTGGAGCGAGATTTGGTTGCCCTGGAAGAGGCCTTTGTCTGGCGATTCGTCCGTGCTGGGCAGCTGGACGGAGTACTGCCGCAGATAGTTCTGCGAGCCGTCAGAGGTGTGCGTGCCGACCAAAAAGCTCGCACGCACGGCACGGTCCGTCTGCTCGGTCTGGCGCAGCCACTCGACGGTCAAACTCGGCCACGGCAGCGCGTACGAGTAGATAACGTCGTAGAGCAGCGGCGACGTTTTCTTCCAGATTTTGTACTCCTCGTTGACGATTTTCTCTGCAACCTGGTACTTCTCCTTGACGGACACGGCGGGCGTGGCGGGCGCCGCCGCCGCAGGCCCTGTGCCGGGCGTCTGCTTGTTTTGGGGCTCTGAGTGAACAGATGTCATGAAATAGTTAAAATTAAAAAAACCAGCTTTAGACGTTTGGCGTGAAAGACTCAATTTGGGCTGGCTGAATTTTCGGCTCTGTCTGCGACAGCATAGTCGGGCACCAGCGGCCAGCGCCGTCTGCCAGCGTCCGAACGGCGTGGGGCCGTTTCGCGCGGGACAAAAAGGCGCCCAGAAAAGGCGCCTTTTCTGGCGCCTCGAAAGCGTGGCCCTACTGCTCTGCAAACGGCAGCAATACCCTTTCCCCGTCGCTGCTACCTCTCCCAGCCTAGCTCGGCCAGATCGGGGCTCTTTCACTGACACTGGGTTATCGGACTATCCTTGCGCGTGCGATAGATCGCGCGAAAGTCGGACGCGTTTGTTTCCTGGTTGCAGGGGGTTCAAGAAGGGGAGAAAAAAAGTGCACGCGACCAGCACCAGACGGGCCACGAGCGGGTCAGAATGGGGATGCTGCCGTTGCCAGCCGCGTTCGGAGGGCACCTACGGGAGAAGAGGGCGTTTCAGGGCATTTTCTGGTGCTGGGACAGTATATTCCGCTGCCTCCCCCTTAACAGGATTTGTTTACAGACGCGTCCGGGAAAAAACTATATAAGGTGCATTAATCCAGTAGGCAATTTTCAGAAAAAAAACCTTTTGTCTTATAAAATGTCTGTGCAAGAAACGCCTTCCAAAACCACAGCCAACGCTCTGTCTACCCTCGACCTGTCCGCTGCCGACAAGAAGGACCTGACCGCTACGCTGACCGCCGCTGCCAAGGCCAAGGCCGCCGCTAATGGCGTCGAGGAGACGTCCGAGGACTTGTCCGACAAGGCCAAGGAACACAAGGACTTCCTGGCAAAACACAAGGTCCACCGTCACAAGCTGATGCAGATGGAGAAGGACGAGCCGTTGCTGGTCGAAAACAAGAGAAGATTCGTCCTGTTCCCTATCAAGTACCACGAGATTTGGCAGATGTACAAGAAGGCAGAGGCGTCGTTCTGGACTGCCGAGGAAATCGATCTGTCCAAGGATCTGCACGACTGGAACCACAAGCTCAACGAGAACGAGAGATACTTTGTTTCGAGAGTGCTGGCGTTCTTTGCTGCCTCCGACGGCATTGTCAACGAGAACCTGGTCGAGAACTTCTCCGCGGAGGTGCAGGTTCCCGAGGCCAAATGTTTCTACGGGTTCCAGATCATGATGGAGAACATCCACTCGGAAACGTACTCTCTTCTGATCGACACCTACGTCAAGGACCCTAAGGAGGCCGAGTTCCTGTTCAACGCCATCGAGACCATCCCATGCATCAAGGAGAAGGCCGAGTGGGCGATGAGATGGATCAACGACGACGAGGCGCTGTTTGCCGAGAGGCTCGTCGCGTTTGCTGCCGTCGAGGGCATTTTCTTCTCTGGCTCGTTTGCCTCGATCTTCTGGCTGAAGAAGAGAGGCCTGATGCCTGGTCTGACCTTTTCGAACGAGCTGATCTGCAGAGACGAGGGTCTGCACACCGACTTTGCCTGTCTGCTCTTCTCGCACCTCAACAACACCCCCAACAACGACATTGTGCTCAAGATCATCACCGAGGCCGTCGAGATCGAAAAGAGATACTTCACCGACGCCCTGCCTGTCAACCTGCTGGGAATGAACTGCAGTCTGATGTGCCAGTACGTGGAGTTTGTTGCTGACCGGCTGCTTTTGTCCCTGGGCTGCAAGAAGCACTACAATGCCACGAACCCGTTCGACTTCATGGAAAACATCTCTCTTGCAGGCAAGACCAACTTCTTCGAGAAGAGAGTGTCCGACTACCAGAAGGCGGGCGTCATGGCCAAGAACACCCAGGAAAAGGCCGACACCGAGACCGGCTTCACCTTCGACGAGGATTTCTAATGAGGATCACGCGACGTGCGTTAATGTATACTAGAATGCTTTGGCATATTGATGAATCGAATTTTTGTGCAAGGGTGTAGAACATTTATTTTCTCTGGAAAATATTTCTCCCTCTGTTTATGAACACACACGAAGGCGGTGGCCAACCTTTCAGTTCGATGATAAAGCGCACGTACAAGGACGCGATCAATGCGCTAAACTCCCTGCAATCGAACGCCGCCACCATAGAGGCCGCCCGCCGCGCCGCCGGCGCCAACAACTCGCGGCTGATTCCCGAGATGCTGGAGTGGACAAGACGCATAGGGTACAAGCCAGAGGACCTGGACCGGCTCAACGTGATCCACGTGACGGGCACCAAGGGCAAAGGCTCGACGTGCGCGTTTGCGACAAGCATCTTGCTGCAGTACCGGTCGCCGGTGCAGGTGCCCGGTGCCAAGATCACCAAGATAGGCCTGTACACGTCCCCCCATCTCAAGAGCGTGCGGGAGCGGCTGATGATCAACGGCAAGCCGATCTCGGAGGCGCTGTTCACCAAGTACTTTTTCGACGTGTGGGACCGTCTCAGCGCGTCTGCGTCCGACCCTGAGCAGTTCCCCGAGATGGGTCCTGGTGTCAAGCCTGCGTACTTCCGGTTTCTGACGCTGCTGTCGTTCCACGCGTTCTCGAGCGAGAAGGTCGACACCGCCGTGTACGAGGTCGGCGTCGGGGGCGAGTACGACTCCACCAACATCTTTGTGCGCCCCACCGCGTGCGGCATCTCGTCGCTCGGGATCGACCACACGGCTGTTCTGGGAGACACATTGGAGAAGATTGCATGGAACAAGGCGGGCATTTTCAAGCAGGGCGCGGCGTGTTTCACCGTGGAGCAGCCGGAGGCCGCGCTGCGCGTGATCCGCGAGCGCGCGGCCGAGAAAAGGGTGGCCAGTCTTGAGGTGGTGCACACCAGGCCCGACCTGGCAGAGATCCGGCTCGGCATCAACGGCGACTTCCAGCGCCAGAACGCGTCCCTGGCCGTCTACCTGTGCAAGGCGCATCTGGAGCGGCTGGGCTTCGAGCTGGGCGACTTCGAGGTGCTGCCCGAGGAGTTTGTCACTGGGCTCGAGCAGGCGTCGTGGCCCGGCCGGTGCCAGATCATCCGCGACAGCAAAAGGGACGACATCACCTGGTACGTGGACGGCGCGCACACGGCGGAGAGCATTGCGAGCGGCACGGCGTGGTTTGCGCAGTGCGCGCGCGAGTCACACCGCAAGGTGCTGCTGTTCAACCAGCAGACCAGGAACGCGGAGAGCCTGCTGAAAAAACTGCACGAGCAGATGGACGCGGCGGGCAAGCGGTTCGACAACGCCATCTTCTGCACGAACGTGACGTACGCGGACGGCAGGTACAGCGACGACCTTGTCTCGATGAGCGTGGCCCAGGACAAGGTGGACTCGATGGAGGTGCAGAAGCAGATGGCCTCGATCTGGGACGGGCTGAGCAAGGACTCGCGCAAACACCTGTTCCACGACATCGAGACGAGCCTGAACTTCATCCGGACGCTGGAGGGCCCGCTGGACGTGTTTGTGTGCGGGTCTCTGCACCTGGTGGGCGGCTTCCTGGTGGTTCTGGAGGACCGAAGCTGAATGAATAAATACGCTCCATTAATGTGCACAGCCATTGAAAAAAATAAATAAGAATGCTAAATCGCAGCGTCATCGACGAGAGGGCGATATACACCAAGCGCGCCGAGGACTACGCGGAGCTGGTGCGCCGCTTCAGCGAGCCGGGGCTGCGCGAGGTGGGCAACTACCGGCTGGGCGACGAGATCGGCTCCGGCGCCTTTGGCAAGGTGTACATCGCGCACCACAAGCTGCTGAGGTCCAAGGTTGTGGTGAAGAAGGGCGACCGCGTGACGCCGTCGGGCTGCAACGACAACCTCATGCGCGAGTACTACTACCTGAAGGAGTTTGGTGCGCACCCGAACGTGACCAAGCTGTACGAGCTGATCCTGACCGAGACGAGTGCGTTCATGGTGCTGGAGTTCTGTCCCGAGGGCGACCTCTTTGAGTATCTGAGCCGACACAAGCGGCTGCCGCTGGACGAGAGCCTGCGGATGTTTGTGCAGCTAGCGTCGGCCGTCCACTACATGCACCGCAGCGGCTGTTGCCACCGGGACCTGAAGCTGGAAAACGTGCTGCTGGACAAAAAACACAACGTGAAGCTGTCGGACTTTGGGTTTGCGCGCGAGTTCCCGATGGCGCAGCACGGCCCGCGCGGGCTGCTCAGCGACGTGTGCGGCACGAGCGCGTACATGGCCCCGGAGCTGCTGAGAAAGACGCCGTACGTGGGCACGAAGACAGACATCTGGGCCCTGGGCGTGATCCTGTACACGCTTGTGGCGGGCGAGATGCCGTTTGACGACTCGCTCGACGAGGACGCGCTCGTGGACGCTGTGTGCGAGCGCGAGCCCGCGTACAGCCCCGAGCTGTTTGGGCCGGACCTGCTGCCGCTTGCGCGCGCAATGCTGGCCAAGGACCCGGACCGTCGCGCGTCGTCGCTCGACGAGGTGCTGCGCGCGCCCGTGCTGCACGCCTACGGCGGGCCCGCGCATCTGGAGCTCGTCAACCGGCTGCTCTACCGCGCAACGCCCGCGCTCGAGCTATCGCACAAGGACAAGCTCCTGCTCAAGGAGCTCACTGGCGTCGGCATCGACAAGGACACGCTCAAGCGCACCATCTACCACCAGACGATGGACCAGGTGTACGGGTTTTGGCAGCTGGCGCGCGAGAAGAACCGCAAGGAGCGCAAGAAGCGGATCCGGCACCGCAGCCGGAGCATGCTGCGCATCTCGACGTCGAAGCCGTTCATGGAGTCGCGGCTCGGTTCGACGCCCGAGCAGGCCGCGCAACCGACACAGCAGTTGCCCGAACCACAGCGCTCGGCCGCGCCGAGCGCGCAGTCGTCCGACCAGGGCAGTCTGCGCAAGGGCCACGGGTTTTCGCTGAAACGGCTGCTGGGCAAGATGCGGTCCAGCAGGGAGCACGAGCTCCCACCGGCGCCGCAGGCCTCCGCACAGGCCAGCGACACGGCGCGCCAGGAGCCGTCTGCGGTGTCCGCGACGCAGCCCGTGGCGGCCAACGTGGTGGTGATCGAGCCACCCAAGTCGCCGCGCGTGAAGAACGTCGGCACGAGCGCAGACACCCCGGCGCGCGCAATGCGCCCGCAGTCGCTCGTGTCTTCGTACTCGATGCAGACGACCGTCTCGGAGACCTCGAACGGCTCGGGCTACAACACGAGCTACTCCACAGACACGAACTTGAACGGCACGGGCACGACGCTCGGCAGCCACACGACGCCGCTGGCGCACTCGTCCACGTCCGGCGGACGCCCGCAGTACGCGCGCGGGCTGAGCGACTGGTCGCTGAACTCGAAGACCGTTGCGTCGCAGCCGACGTCGCCGACGTCGTCGTTCACGACGGTGTCGCGCTCCAACTCGCTGGAGTCGGCATCGCGGTCGGTGCGCGGCCGCTCGCGCAGACGCAAGAACTCGGGCATCTTTAGCACATCGGGCAACAGCAACGGGTTCCTGTCCAAGCGGGGCAAGTCGCCGCTGCAGTCGAAACTCAACACCAAATGGAGCTTTGGCGCGATCCAGAAGTCCACCAAAGAGAACAGGTTTGGCAAGAGCTCCAAACAGCAGCAGATCATTGAGGAAGAGGGCGAGGACGGCACGTCTGAAGACGAGCTACTAAACGAGACCGAGTACGCGGACGGCGAGCTGGAGGAAATGGCAGACTCGGAGTTTGAGCAGGGCGAGGTGCAGGACGTTGCCGAGCAGCTTTCCGATTGCACGCTAGACCAGCCAGCAGATAGATGTTAATAAAGGTGCGCACATAGGAGGACGTAAAAAAAAATGCGTAAACCCGGAATCGAACCGGGGGCTCGTCGATGGCAACGACGAATTTTACCACTAAACCATTTACGCAGCTGATACTGTGATGCCGCTCCCCACACTACAGAACCGGCCGTGGGGACGCACGTGCTGTGTGATGCATGCAAAGTACAAGGAATGCATACGTCCGGAAAAGATCGCCTGCATCATGCGCCAAGCGAGATCCCGCTGTCGCAGAAAAGGCACTCCCTTTGTCCAGGCGGCAGCAAATTTTGTTATGCGTCCAACAATAACAACAGACTTCTTCTCGACTCCATCGTAATATACCTAAAAAGGCAATGTGAAATCGGGTCGAGATGCTCGTTCCGAGGTATTACCGTTCCTGCTGAACCGAGAAATTGCATAGAGACTTGTTATCCATCGTCATGTGCCTGCTGTCTGCTAGAAGCACAGCAGCCGCACTACAGGCCATTCCCAAATCCGCAGCGACCGCCTTTGCCCCGGTTGTATCCAAAACCGCATTCCGTACTCTGCAACCACACTCCTGTCGCAGATCCTCACTCATTATTAAAAACGATCGGATTTAATTACAGACTCATCAATCGCTGGATACTGTATTACTCGCTCACAATGCGTTCATCAACAGGCCCTTGAGCTCTTTTTTGAAATTGTCCAGCTCCTCGCTTTTGATCGGCGTCGACATCGAAAGCGAGCCGTCGTTTTGGCGGGCTTCAAACGTCTCGTTCGTTTCCCTGGGCTCGCCAGCACAGAGCTTTTCCAGCGTCTTCTTCAATTCCTCCTTGCTCTGCACACCGGGGATCTGCTCGGCCGGCCCCAGCTCCGCAACGCCGTGCTCCGTGTGAACCACGTCCTTGGTGTCGGCCTGGTCCTCAAACACCGTGATCAAATTGAAATTGAGCCCGCTGCTATGCCTTTTTTTCGGCGGCGGGAACTCTCTGTTGGCCAGCTGCGGCGACGAGACCGGCGTTGCGCGCGCAGAAACGTCCGCATCCCTGACGCCGTCGATTATGGTGTTGTACAAGTCGACGAGCTCGTTGATCGAGGCGCCAACCTGTGTCAGATTCTCCACAGAATCCGTTTCGTTGAGCTCCATTGCGCCCAGCTTGTTGCTTATTGCGTCCAGTTTGCCAATGAGGTCTTTGTACGGGGACTGTTCCTCCGGCAAGGGAGCTTCCGTCTCTGCAACCTGCGGTCCCTCAATTGCTGCCGCCACCTCCTGTTGCAGACTCTGCTGCAGAGAGATCAACTGCTGCAGAACATGGCTCATCAGCACCAACTTCGTCGGCAGAGTCAAATGGAGGCTCGTCAGCCGCACGTTGAACTTGCGAGCACACAGCTGGGCAAACTGTGCCGTTTCCTCCGTCTGCGCAATGCGGGCATCTTCCGCGAATGCGAGCAGCACACAGAAAAAGATCTTGCGCAGAGATTTGAAACAATGGAACGTCCGCGACGGACTGGAAGCCAATTGGAGCGGCGGCGACGCTGCCTTTGGCTGCGGGAACGTTGGGCTGTGCTGGAGCGGCGAGTCGCCTGAAAAAGACCGCAGTCGCAGAGGTTTCAGCGGCGCAGGCCCAGGCCCAGACCAGCCCCTAAGCCCCTCCGAGTTGAGCACGCCTACAAACCGCAGATCCCGGCTTCCCAGGTCCAGCTGGTAAACATCTAGGTATCTGTGGAGGTACTCAAGATCGGTAAACGGGAGTATCGCGGCGACTTTCTGGTTTGTAGCTGCCAGAAGCGTGTTCAGTACACCCTGGAGCAGAATTGGCGAGGCCACGCCGCGAGTTCGGGAGCTCCCGCCCAGAAGCACATTCAAACTGTCGTTCGCCAAATTTGTGAATGCTCGCACGTGTGAGGAAAGTGTTCTGTCCAGCTGGTGGTTAATCTGCAAGAACCTGTCCAGCTTATTTGTGACGAGTTGCAAATATATGCGAATGGCTATTTTCTTTGTGTTGAGGTCGAGAACCAAGAACGCCGTTGCCAGCAGCATCGCGAGTTTCAGGCACGCGGGGCTAATGCGACCCGCATTTTTTTTAGCAAAGTGCAGCAGCGCCAGCGCCAAGTAGAAAGCTCCGTGAGAGTGAACAAGCCGATGGGACGGGACGTCGCAGACGCTAATCCGGACTCTGGCCCGCGACGCCGCAGAGCTTGTGGGCGTTTCAGCGCTCCTCATCATGTTCGATGCAATGATTTCGAACTTGAATTTATCAAGCGCTAGGAGCACCTGGTTTTTCAGCTCTGAACAGTCTTGAGAATAGTCTTCTATTAATTGAACGTAACTCAATGGAGGCCGGTGTTTGACAGTAGTCGGGCTGGTACTTGGCGGAACCAGTGTTGAGCCATTGGAATGCGATACGGACCCGAGTTTCGTCTGGTTGGTAGTGCTGGAGCTCTCATCTGGATGGGAACAGACATGCTGGCTGGCGGACGACGAGGCCTCCGAAAGCGTTTCGTCAAGACCCCAGTCGGGAAGAGCGTCTATGGACGGCCAAAACTTCGGATCTCGGCCGGCCGTGGTTATTCGGGCGTCCATAGCGGTGCCGTGATGCGCTCTGGTGAGGGTGGATAATGAATAATGATAAAATAAAAAACAAAACAAAACACCCTTTTTTGGCAGACGCGTCGATGCGGCTAATTTTCGGGCGGCGTGCAATGCGCTGCGTATTCTGGCCGTAAATAGGCTACACTGACGACACGAAGTGCGGAGTAACAACTGGGCAGCCGGCGTGGAACATGTATTTTGAAGAGGGTCAAGGGACGTGAATGTGTATATAGCATGCGAGCAAAAAACGCGAAACTGCCTTCTTAGCTTAGTGGTAGAGCGTTGCACTTGTAATGCAAAGGTCGCTAGTTCAATTCTGGCAGGAGGCATTTATTTTTGGCCGTATCATTTTTCTAATTCTTTGATTCTTTTTTATTTTCAATGCAGCGCGACGAGCTCGCCAGAGCGCGTGCAGCGATTCTCAACCAGCTCACCAGCCAGGATGCCATGATGGTGCACGCCCTTAATCACCAATTTGCTCAAGTTTACGGCATGAAAGCAAAAGACACCGTCACAACCACCAAGCAGTATGAACACGAGCTGATGAAACAGCTGTGCGGCAAAAAACGAACATGACTGCGTGCAATACTATCTATTACTCTATGCCTCTAAAATACACGTCACCTCCGCTTCTCCTTCTTCTCCTTGCGCTTCCGCTTGGACACATATCCAGACCGCGACGGAGCAGGCAGGCCTGCTGGTTTCTGCGGGAGCACCCCGGACTTTTTAGGCTGGGGCGTCCTATTGTCTCTGTACTTGCCGCCAAACTTGCCGCTCTTGTCGTTCTTTCCGTTCTTGTTGGTCTTTTCGCTCTGGTCGTGCTTTTTCTGACGCTTATCTCTGTGCCCGTTGTCCTTATATTCGTCAAACAGCGGCCGCCGCTTTCTGGATAGCGACGAATGGTACTGTCTTCGGAGCTGGCGGGGTAGATTGTCGCCTGTGAATGCGGACCCGTTGATGTTCGGCGTCTTCGATACCCGTGGCCTCGGACACTCGTCGCCGTAGTGACCTCGTTCCGCGCAATTGTAACAGTATATATAGTCTGCAGGATATTTGAATTTGTGATTTTTGTCGTATGCTATGGTGATGTAACTTCGCCAGATGTTGGGACAGCGGTCTGCAGAGTGCGTCTTCGAGTTACAGTCGGTGCAGAAGTTGAATTTTCGTCTCTGCTTGCACTGGTTGCGGAAATGGCCGCGCTCGCCGCAGTTGGTGCACACCATCGAGTTCGGACACTGTGTTTCGTAGTGGTCGTCGACTTTGCCGCATGCGTGGCAGACCACGATCTTGCAGTTGGCACGGATGTGGCCGCGGCGGTGGCAGTTTGAGCACACAGGCTGCGAAAGCTCTGGATCTGTGACTCCAAAGTATCGTCCCTCGCCCCTGAGCTCAACTAGCTCGTCGTTGTTGTTGTTGACCTCTCCGTAGTCTAGCGACACCACGGAAGGTACGCTTGGAGTCTCTGTGGATGGTCTGAGGGTTAGCAGGGTGGCAAGAAAATGTACTTACATCTCATCCAAGTCTTCTGGATCAGACATAAAAACAATTTTTGTAATAACGAAAATTCTTACCCGGCCACTTTGTTGAAAAATAGGTACATCAAAGATTAATTTAGTCTTAGTAATTCACCATGTCTGAAATCGAAAAGAAAGTCGAAGCGCTTTCTGTCAAGGACAAGAAGGTCAAGAAGGCCGCCAAGAAGTCTGGAGATGACGCCGCCAAAAGACCACTCGAACTGGATCCGAAGCCGGACTTTATTGAGCACAGAATTAGAATCTTTGAGAGAATCAAGGCTAGACAAGACGCAGAACTCGCAGCCAAGGAGAGACTGCCAATCAAGGTGACTCTGAAAGATGGTACGGTTAAGGAGGCCACTTCTTGGGAAACCACGCCGTTCGATATCGCCAAGGAGATCGGCAAATCGTTCTGCGAAAGACAAGTGATTTCCAAGGTCAACGGAGAGCTGTGGGACCTGGAGAGACCGTTCGAGACAGACTCTAAGCTGGAGTTTTTTGACTTCGATTCTCCAGAGGGAAAACAGGTCTTCTGGCATTCTTCCGCCCATATTTTGGGAGAAGGCTGCGAAAATCACTACGGTGCTCACTTGTGTTTTGGTCCTCCTACTGAAGACGGATTTTTCTACGACATGGCCATTGACGAGGGAGATTACAAAGTCTCTCAGAACGACTTTTCCGACATTGAGACTCTATGTACCAGAGCCATCAAGGAGAAACAGCCATTTGAGAGACTTGTCATGACTAAAGACGAGCTCTTGGAAATGTTCAGCTATAACAAGTACAAGGTTGCGCTGATAAAGAGCAAAATCCCGGACGGTACCTCGTCGACGGTTTACAGATGCGGTCCGCTGATCGATTTGTGCAGAGGCCCCCATGTTCCTCACACTGGAAGGGTCAAGGCGTTTAAGGTTCTCAAGAATTCCTCCTCGTATTTCCTTGGAGACTCCAATAACGATTCTTTGCAGAGGGTGTACGGTGTCTCCTTCCCAGACAAGGCTCTAATGAAGGAACACCTGAAGTTCCTGGAGGAAGCTGCTGCCAGAGACCATAGAAAGATCGGAAGAGAGCAGGATCTATTTTTCTTCCACGAAATGTCGCCAGGTTCTTGTTTCTGGCTCCCTCACGGTGCCAGAATTTACAACGGCTTGTGCGACCTTCTAAGAAATCAGTACAGAAAGAGAGGGTACGAGGAGGTTATCACTCCAAACATGTACAATTCGAAGCTCTGGGAGACCTCTGGCCACTGGGCCAACTACAAAGAGAACATGTTTACTTTTGAGGTCGAAAAGGACACTTTCGGTCTCAAGCCAATGAACTGTCCTGGTCACTGTCTGATGTTCAAGTCTAGAGAGAGATCGTACAGAGAGTTGCCATGGAGAGTGGCTGATTTTGGTGTGATTCACAGAAACGAATTTTCTGGCGCTCTTTCCGGACTGACAAGAGTCAGAAGATTCCAGCAAGACGACGCGCATATCTTCTGTACCCAGGATCAGATTGAGGACGAGATCTCTGGTGTTTTCGATTTCTTGCAGCACATTTACGGTATTTTCGGTTTCGAGTTCAAGATGGAGCTGTCTACGAGACCTGAGAAATACGTGGGGGATATTGAGACCTGGAACAATGCAGAGGCAAAGCTGGAGAGTGCCTTGAACAAGTGGGGCGGTAAGTGGGAGCTGAACCCTGGAGACGGCGCATTCTACGGTCCGAAGATCGATATCATGATCTCGGATGCCTTGAGAAGATGGCACCAGTGTGCCACTATCCAGCTCGACTTCCAGCTGCCAAACAGATTCGAGCTCGAATATAGAGGCAAGGATGACTCGGCCGAGGTTCAGCGTCCGGTGATGATCCACAGAGCCATCTTAGGTTCCATCGAGAGAATGACTGCCATCTTGACTGAACATTTTGCCGGTAAGTGGCCGTTCTGGCTGTCTCCGAGACAGATTCTGGTGGTTCCTGTTGGTGTCAGGTACTTTGAATATGCCCAGGAGGTGCAAAAGTTGCTGCAGACGGAAGGTTTTTATGCAGACGTGGATCTTTCAGGCAACACTTTGCAGAAAAAGGTGAGAACCGGCCAGTTGCAAAAATACAATTTCATTTTCATCGTCGGTGAGCAGGAGCAGAACGAGAAGGCCGTCAATATCAGAAACAGGGACATCCAGGAGTTACAGAGCAAGAACGAGATGGTCAAATTGAATGATGTGCTTCCCAAGTTGCACGCTCTTAGAGACGAAAAGAGAAATGATAATGCTTTATAGGTATTATTATAATTTTGACATCCTTACACACAACCAATTTGGTAAATGTGGGGATCAAATAAATCTAAACTTGATAATCTATGACTTCGCGCCGTCTAGCACAACATTCTTCTATACAAATTAAGCGCCGACTGACTGCCGTTAATGGTAGTACATCTTCTCAGTCGCCATCTATTATGGATTCGCTGATTCGCATGGTAGATGCAAAATCCACTGATGTCCAGCTCCCGGCCACCAACTTCCTTGTTCATGAGCGGTTGCTGTACCCCAAGGGAGCAGCCCTGGACAACATGCTGAAGCTTGTCTCACGAATTGCTCCCGGAATCCCAATTGTAAAGGCTCAGCTGATGGAAATCTGGCAGGAGGAAGTGTCGAAAGCAGTCATTTTCCCCACTCTCACGGAGCATGCTGCGCAGCGTAAATTCGGGGAGATCGTCAAGACTATGTTCTGGCCATATTTGAGGGCGTCCCCTAATGTGATGTCGCAGCTGCTGAGCACGAAGTTTCACGCCGATCTCGCGAATGCCATGATGAGCAACCGGCATCTGTACAAGCACAATTTAAAGATCTTAACCCAGATAAAGGTGGAGAATGGAAAACATAAATTCCTTGTGTTGAGAGACAGCGAGATGTTACTGTTTCCAAATGCAAGGGATAAACACCAAAAATCTTTGGCCAGGTTACTGCGATCCCGTTTCCTTACCGTCCATGAATGGGACGACCAGGAGACCAGCGAGAACCGTCTTTTGAAGAGCTCAAATAAGAATTTTCTGCTGATTGCGGGCGACACCAAGACAGCTATGGAATATTTCAGACTTCTGAGTGCGCTCAAAAAGAAATCGTCCAATATTAAAGGCTCGGTTGTCTTAGTGGGTCCTGGCTCGCTCTTCTCGTGCTCTGACGATTTCTGGACTCTTGGGGCTCTAGACGATGTATATCCGACAATGAAAAAAAATGCGTAAACCCGGAATCGAACCGGGGGCTCGTCGATGGCAACGACGAATTTTACCACTAAACCATTTACGCTTTGCTGGTATGTTAATTGTATTCAATTAACAAGTAAGCTGAGTCATGGAGGTCGTAGAGCCCAATGACAGTGGGCGGCAATGACACTATGACCAGTATATATGGTACGTCATCGTCATCTGAGGAATTTGTATAATGCAGAAGAATTAAGAAAAGCTTCAAATAAAGGGAAGCCTCCTTACAAAAGCGCAGATTGAGCCTATTTGAGCTGAATACTAATCTCAATCCAGGAATACGATAGCTACTCGTGTATTGGAACTTACATAACAATTGGTTGCGTGGTCTAGTTGGTTATGGCATCTGCTTAACACGCAGAGGGTCCCCAGTTCGATCCTGGGCGCGATCATTTTTGTTGTCTACAATTTTTTTACGGCCCCGATTTTTTTTTTACTCGAAAATTCCACCGACAGTATTTAAAAGGAAAGATTTTGGAGAAAATTCAATACTTAACCAAATTTTCACTAATGCTAAGATTTGCACGTCCTCAAATAAAGAAGAACATTGCTTCTCTGGCTCGTACATACGCTCACAAGGAGCTGAAATTCGGTGTGGAAGGCAGAGCTGCCCTTTTGAAGGGTGTCGAAACCCTTGCTGATGCTGTTGCCGTCACCTTGGGCCCAAAAGGTCGTAATGTCTTGATCGAACAGCCATTTGGTGCTCCGAAGATCACCAAGGATGGTGTGACTGTGGCCAAGAGTGTCAGCCTCGAAGACAAGTTCGAGAACTTGGGCGCCAAGCTGTTGCAAGACGTTGCCTCCAAGACCAACGAGAGTGCTGGTGACGGTACCACCTCTGCTACTATTCTTGGAAGAGCTATTTTCTCTGAGTCTGTCAAGAACGTGGCTGCCGGATGCAACCCTATGGACCTTAGAAGAGGTTCGCAGGCCGCCGTCGAGGCTGTGATCGACTTTTTGCAGAAGAACAAGAAGGAGATTACCACCTCTGCTGAGATCGCCCAGGTGGCCACCATCTCTGCCAACGGCGACACCCACATCGGTAAGCTTTTGGCATCTGCCATGGAGAAAGTTGGAAAGGAGGGCGTGATCACAATCAAGGAAGGTAAGACCTTGGAGGACGAGTTGGAAGTCACCGAAGGTATGAGATTTGACAGGGGCTACATCTCTCCTTACTTCATCACAGAGGCCAAAAGTGGAAAGGTTGAGTTTGAGAACCCTCTGTTGCTGCTGTCTGAGAAGAAGCTGTCTTCAATTCAGGACATTCTTCCAAGCTTGGAGATCTCCAACAAGATGAGAAGACCATTGCTCATCATTGCCGAGGACGTTGACGGCGAGGCCTTGGCTGCCTGTATTCTGAACAAATTGAGAGGCCAGGTCCAGGTTGCCTGTGTTAAGGCCCCAGGTTTCGGAGACAACAGAAAGAACATTTTGGGCGATATCGCCATTTTGTCCGGAGGTACTGTCTTCACTGAGGAGTTGGACATCAAGCCGGAGAACGCCACTCCAGAGCTCTTGGGTCAGTGTGGATCTGTCACAGTCACCAAGGAGGACACTGTCATTCTGAATGGTGCCGGAGAGAAGGACAACATCTTGCAAAGATGTGAGCAGATCAAGGGCGCTATTGAGGACGCGTCGACCTCCGATTACGAGAAGGAGAAGCTTCACGAAAGACTGGCCAAGCTCTCTGGCGGTGTTGCAGTCGTGAGAGTCGGTGGCTCTTCTGAGGTCGAAGTCGGAGAGAAGAAGGACAGATACGACGATGCTCTGTGTGCTACCCGTGCTGCTGTTCAAGAGGGTATTTTGCCAGGTGGAGGTACTGCTCTCCTGAAGGCATCCAAGGTTTTGGACCAGATTGAGGTCGATAACTTCGACCAGAAGTTGGGCGTGCAGATCATCAAGGCTGCCATCACGAAGCCTGCTAAGAGAATTGTCGACAACGCTGGTGAGGAGGGGTCTGTCATCATTGGCAAGATCCTGGACACCTACGGCGACCAGTTCAACCACGGCTACGACAGCTCCAAGGGCGAGTTTGTGGACATGATTCAGGCCGGTATCATCGACCCATTCAAGGTCGTCAAGAGCGGTTTGGTCGACGCAGCTGGCGTTGCCTCCCTATTGGCTACCACCGAATGCGCTATTGTCGATGCTCCAGAACCAAAGGGTCCACCAGCCGCTCCAGCAGGCGGTATGGGCGGTATGCCGGGAATGGGCTTCTAATGTAAATAGGATGTAAATAGAAGCTGAGATTTGTTATGATATCATGCCTATCGCCTGGTTATATACGGGGATGACATTTAGAGAAAAACTGCGATTTTGTGCAGGTTTGAACTCCGCGCACTCCGCAATGTCGTCCAGCGTGCCGTCCCAACCGTACGCCATCATCATTTTGGAGTAGAGAACATTGAGTTTTGGGGGACTGCTTAGTGCGGCGATAGAGGTGTCGAAGCCGTAGTAGTGAATTATAGCGAAGAACATAGCAACGTGATCGGTGTCTGCTTCCGCGACAGTTTCCAAAGTGTCCTGCAACACTTTCTCATTTTCCGTGCTCTGCGGCAACGTCAGAAGATAGTCTCTGGGAGCAAAGCGTTCGAGACATTGATCGACCGCGACAGATCTATTCAGATTGAGCGAAAGCCCGTACTCATCCACTATTATGACATTGCACGGTATAGCAAGAATAAATGGGACAATAAGGAGAAAAGCGAGCATTGCGACTGGCAAAAGTCAGACCTCAGCACAAGCTCCTAACACAAGTCTAGTTTCTTAGCAGTACCTCAGTTGGCGTCAGCAATACAATAAATTTTGCGGCTCTCTGGTGCCTTAACTTTTTAGCTTCGCGACGAGTATCTAGAGTTTTATTTCCTATCGTTTATCTTCATGTTCAACCGGACATTTGCTGCATTTTGGCTTTTCGGGCTAGTCAACAACGTCCTCTACGTTGTGATTCTTTCTGCTGCAGTAGATCTCGTTGGTCCTTTGACTCCCAAAGCTATTGTGCTCATGGCTGACGTGCTTCCTTCATTCCTGCTAAAGCTGGCCTCGCCGTTTTTCATTCACAGAATCCCCTATCATATTCGTATATGCATCCTTGTGTTTCTGAGTTTTGTGGGAATGCTGACAGTCTCGCTGTTCGAAAACGTTGCGCTTGTCCTCTTTGGTATCATTCTTGCATCCACGTCCTCAGGTCTAGGTGAGACCACATTTCTTCAACTGACGCACTACTATACTGAATCGGCCCTGAGCGCATGGTCCTCCGGCACAGGTGGAGCAGGGCTTGCAGGGGCCTTTGTCTACATGTTCTTGACTACTTGGATGGGAATTAGTGTCAGAAATGCGCTTTTGACATTCTCTATTGTTCCGTTCACTTTCATTGTCTGCTACTTCCGCCTGCTTCCCTCCCCAAGTATGAAACTTTCTGAGCGATTGGAGCAGCCAATCCTCCTGGTGGAGTCAAATTACCAAAGCACCATCCGAAGAATCAAACCTCTGGTAGTGCCCTACATGCTCCCTTTGTTCACGGTGTATGTGGCTGAGTACGTTATCAACCAGGGTGTCAGTCCAACGCTACTTTTCCCAATTGATGAGATGCCATTCCACAACTACAGAGACGCGTACGTCACATACGGAACACTATACCAGCTTGGAGTTTTTGTCTCGAGGTCATCAGGACAATTTGTGCGGATCCGTAACCTCTCGATGCCTGCACTGCTTCAGTCGATAAATTTGGTGATCTGTGTGTTCCAATCCATGTATGTCATTTTCCCCAACATTTACTGGCTGTTCTTTCTTATATTGTACGAGGGACTCCTGGGAGGGTCTGCGTATGTGAACACGTTCATGCTGGTGACAGAAACAGTACCTCTTGTCGAGCGAGAATTCGCTATGGGATGTGTCGGGATCAGTGACAGCGCTGGAATTGTCGTTGCTGCAGCTTTAGCCATGATGCTAGAACCCCATCTGTGTGCATTCCAAGTCGCAACGGGTCGGGATTATTGCCAACGCTGATCGTTAAACAAGCATGCTTTTCATGGAGGGCTGTCTATTCATAATGTTGCATTTTTCTCTCATCTGCTGCATGAGATTTTCCACAATTTTCTGGTTTGTGTCGTTGGTATCTGCGCGGTTAAGGACTGAGAGACAGTGCAGCAGCTTTTCGTTGTTTTGCTGTTCTCGGCCGGCGTTTGTTCCCCGGAGATTTTCGTGCGACGTACGGGACAGCGAGACCGAGGAGTTGGTTGCAAATGACATTGTCCGGTCTTTTCTGCGCTCTTTTTCTGCGTCTGCCTGTCTCATGCTCTCATAAAGTGGGATGACGACATTGTCGCGGAAGCTGACAGACACAATGTTCTCCACGCACGGCTTGCCTCTCCAGCCGCCGCCCAATATCTCCTCGAACGATTCATCTTCAAGGGGTAAAAATACTCCCTGTAGGTAGAAATGCATATCTTGAAAAAAGTAATCCCAGAGCAATGCACAGGCGTCGCGGAAGCTCTGTTCGCTTGTGACAAGGGAGAGCGCGGACCCCCGTGTGGGCGAAGTTTTGCGGTCGCGGGGCTTAAGCATGAACTCCTTAGTTGTGTCGTCTTGGTATAACTGTGAAAGAAAGGTGTTCATTCCCTGTTTGAGGAACTCTTGTATTTCCTGGACGATGCTGGAGCCCTTCACGGGAGACATAGTCCCGTAAGAGCTGGGAGGAGATCTCCCGGATGAGGTGAAAGTAGGCGTGGGAGCTCCCAGAGGAGTGTAGGGAGAAGTAGCAGCTGCTCCGTCAAATACACTGGAGAAATTGTTTGGAGAAACTATAGGCGAGTAAGCGATCTGGTCAGACGGCATCTGGTTGGAGCGCAGTCTGAGATGGAGATAGACCAGCTTGTTGATCTCCTCTATTGGTATTTTGAGTCGCTCACAGTAGAATATGGGTGATACCAGGGACGAAACCAATGACCATGCTTCGTCTGCTATGGCGTCTGTGTCTCCCGACAACGAGGAGTTATTGATACTCATTTTCTCAAGCTCTGTGATGGTGTTTTGCAATTCTTGCACCGTCATAGAGCTGTTTACCAGAGATGGATGAAACGAGTAGAGCATCTCACCGCCGTGCAGGGCTGATACTTTTGAGTTAGAGCTCGAAGAGGACTTGGTGGTGTCTTTGCGCGAACGTAGAATGCCATGGTAGTGTTTGTGTTTTGTTTGTTGGTCGTTCAAGGTGCTGAAACTGGCTATTCGTTCGACTTCTTTAGATGTCCTAGCCAGCGGAGACTTGAGCTCCTTTGACGGCATGATGTTTGTCTGGATCGGTAGATTATCCGGTCTTTTCAGCTTAGCCGAAAACGTGCCGCTGTTGCCATTGTTTTTGTCATTTGTGAGAGTTGAAGTTGAAGCAGCCGAGTCATTGGAAGTCGATTGGTAGTTCGCGTGAGAGTCAGAAGGTGACCGTTTCATCTTCTCTGCCGTCTTGTTGAAGAATCGGGTCAGCTTCGTCTCCATGGTTCCGAGCCGTGAGATTGTAGTCGAAGACGACATAGTTCGATGCAGAGAAGAATGTGAGGCGGCATCCTGTGGAGAGTCCTGGCTGCTGCGGACATTGTTAAACTCTACATTGGAGACAGTATTTTGCTGAAGGAAGGATGTTGCTGAATCGTTGCCCAATGTGTAACTGAACGTGCTATTTCTGCGCTGTTTGGGATCGCCATCGAACCGCGTGGACCCAGAACTACTATTTCGTCTATGAGACATCACGGATAATTGAATTCGAGAGATTTATTTTTATTTTTTTCCCTATGGATCCTATCGCAATCCACGAAGATTACATCCACCGGGATTCCATCTCGAGTGGCGAGTCCGCCCAATTGGATAGGCCGCAACTCACCAGATTGGCTGCACAGAAATCGCAGGTCTCGCTCGTATCCAATTCCTTGGTTTTGTCACGTCCTGCCGAAAGTACAAGTGGTGTCACTTTCGTCTCTTCCCAGCCAGACAACGCCAGTATGGCGGCTAGCATGGAGGCCAGCATCAGTGGTACCATTTATAGTGACGGTGAGACTGCGCTACATAGCCTTCCTGACACCCAGCCAGCCATAGATCTGGGTTTCAGGCCGCAAAAGGCAGATATGAACGACAACGAAAATGCCTTCTTCGTGCAAAACAAGCATTTTTTTATCCTGTCGGTTGCTGGTAAACCGATCTACTCGATGCATGGGTCCGATGAGATTCTCACGGTCCACGCGGGTATTATTCAGACGATAGTTTCGTATTTTGAGTTCAATCCGGACGGCGAGACCGAGCAGCTGCGCACATTCACGTTTGGTGGGGAGAAGAAAACGCGCTTTTGTTTCCTGAACAAAACGCCCATTATTTTAATGGCAATTTCGTCTGTTGACGAAAGCGAGCTGCAGCTGAACCAGCAGCTGGATTTTCTATACAACTTTCTTCTCACGATCTTGAGCAAGCCTCACATAGACAAAGTCTTTCGAAAAAGAGATAATTTCGACCTGAGAAAGTTGCTGGGAAAAGCCGATATAGCCTGTTTAGACTCGATATGCAACGATCTCGCTAATTTCAACAACCCAGGGCTTATCATTGGCGGTTTGGAATGCCTCAGAATGCGCAAGTCTGTGAGACGACGGATCGAAAATCTGCTGCTTGCTGAAAGATCGGAAAACTTGTTGTATGCGTTGCTGGTAGCTCCTGGTGGGAGACTTATCACTGTATTACGTCCACGTCGGCATACATTACACACATCGGATTTGCAATTGCTGTTTTTCATGATTTTCAACACAAATACGTTTAGATCGACGCCTGAGGAAAATGAAGCTCAACAGCTTGCATCAAATGAAGAGTTCTGGGTTCCAGTATGCTTCCCAAAGTTCAATCCTAACGGTTTTCTCTATTCATTTATTCAGTTCGTGGATTTGAAAGACAAGAAATTGATGTACCTGCATGATTTGAACATGAGTGCGCTGAATCAGGACGCAAACCCGGATGCAAGCAAAATCACTGTCATACTTGTGAGCGCGTACAAGGACAGCTTCTTCGAGATGAGAAAGATCGCAAGCTCTATCATCAAGTCTCTGAAGCTCAATAGAACAATATACAGAGACCTCTTTAAGGCAGTCGTTGGCACACAAGGGGCTAACGGCGAAACGGGGGTCAGCTCGGGCAAGGTGGACCCAGTGGAAATACCTGCGCCACTGGTTCAGCATTTTGTGTTTAAGAGCAAGAAACATACACAGTTCGTTTTCTCAAGATTAGCACATCAGCGGGAGCCTGACGAAAGTATGAGAGGTCAATTGATGATGCTCTATGCGCATTTACACTCTCGCTTTTCTGGTGCTTCTCGGATCACAGGCTCGCAGCAGGATTCGGATTTTTTAGATGAAAGCCATTTTATTAATCTGGTCAGATGGAAACATCACAACGATAACTTAGTCGGTTTCTTGATTACGACCACCAATTATGAACTCTATCTACTCATCAATGGAGGCATTATGGACAAAAAAGTGTTGCTACGCTCATGCAAAAACCTAATTAAGTGGTGCAAAAAGAATCAAGATCGTTTGTTCATCTCTGGGGGTGCAGTGTTCTAATGATTAATTATTCCAGAGGTATGAGAATATTTATATGACTCTGTCAGCCCTTTAAAGTGCGAGTATGCACTCAATACAACAAGAACGTGGAAAATCTGATGGGAGTTCCCCCACAAATCGAGAGCTCCTGGAAAATGCCTTTCTGGTGTCCGCATAGCATATATAACAGCACCCGAAATATATCCCACTCCTTCTAGTAGCACAAAGCCCAACCCCGCGCGGTTCCAAACCTCGACAAAACCATACTTCCATAAACCATAGCCGATCGGCACCACACTGGAAACACCGAATATGATAAACATGGTAGCACGGAAGGTTCTCCATTCTGGTTCCCGAAAGCGTGGATTGAGAGTGAGCACCAAGCAAACTGTTCCCTGCGCCCCAACAAACAGGATACATAACCAATGTGCTATTGGGTCGTCATGTAGAGAGTAATGGATAATTCCAACCATAGATGTTACAATCAGACTAATAATCCCCACATAATCTAGTGAGGAGCCCCATTTCATGATTTTGTGCGAGTGACATTTGGTAGCGTGGAAGGCAGCAGAAAGCGTAAGACATGAGGAAAAGCCGAACAAAAACAAATTGAAGATAAAGTTGTCTGTTTTTGAGGTGGTTGTGTAAACCGGTACATCCATAAGCCATGTGGGCACTGAGCTTATCAGCCTATTGTTTGCCACCAACCACGGGGACGCAAGCAAGAGCGCCAATGGGATGAGGAATCCAGGGATTAGATGTGTGAAAATATTGACCGTCTCATTGTGTAAATAGAAAAGGGAATCAAAGCATTCTTTAAAGCTCTTGGTTTCTCGTACATAGCCTGATCTGATATAATGGTTGTCCTGTTGCCAGAGAGGGATCTCATCAAAGAGGTATTTCCCTTGTTTGCGATTTATAGCAGCCAATGGTGTGTGCTCTGAAGTAACTGTCGTAGTTTGTGTGTTCGTAGAGCGTCGTTTATGAGCCATTCTCCCAGAGCGTCAGATTTTAGTGTACGATAAAGTGAGTTTAATTCGTTGGGTGTGTAAAGATGTGTTTCCTTTGACTACCCGAAGAGGCATATAAATATATTTTCCAATGCGTCGTGGTTATGCCGATTTTTGTCAAAAGTCGAAGAGATTAATTTTCAAGTAGCTCTCATCTACGAGCATGATGAGTAATTTAAAATGGGGGAGACGGCATCTGGCTACAAATGTTGCCACCACGCTTAAAAACATTCAGACTGGTGTGATTTTATCAAGAATCCCGCAAGTCACACCCGAGGTGACAGATTTTGAGCAAAAATTTTACAAATATCAAGATGAACTGGAAAGAAGACTCATGTGGACTTTTCCAAGATGGTTCTATTTCAAAAAGGGTACTGTTGCCGAGCGAGAGTTTTCCCAAGCTCAAAAATATCCATTGCCAGCAAGAGATGGTGTGTGGTTCCCAAAAGGAAAGCCGGAAATTAGACACGGCAGAGACAGAAGATTGAAAGAAACCATTGTGCTTCCCAAGGCCGAGGGGCATGGTAAACAGGGCGAATCGTCTGCAACGCAGGGAGAAAATTTGGATGACGCTAGCAGGCCCATCAAAGCGTTGCCTAGAATCACGGAAGCCGATAAAAACAACGATCAACATTCTTTAGAGAGAAAACTATCAAGAACCCTATACCTACTTGTCAGACAGAACAATATGTGGAAGTTCCCAGCTTTTGTGGTCCCTGACGACTCCAAACCGTTACATACGGTTGCAGAAGAAGGTCTTAAGAATTTGGGAGGAGAAAAACTTAATGTCTGGACTGTTTCCCGGACCCCTACAGCATTATTGAAGTTTTCGAATGGCAAGATTGTTCATGATTTACCTCAAGATGGTATTCGAGAATATTTAATCAAATCTCACATCGTTGCAGGAGAATTCCAATTAAACAAAACTGATGGCTGCGAAGAATACAAGTGGCTCACAAAAGAGGAAATTCAGCAACTGGCAGACCCTGCTTACTTTGAGAAAATTGAGTGTCTGCTCTCTAAAGTGTGATGATCATCTATGTACATAAAATATTAGAAGGTGCGAGGTGTAAACGATATAGTACACATTAAAACAAATTTGAGTTGATCGCACACTAGAGTCTCTGAATAGAAGTTTGCTCTTCCGGATGGTTTCGAACGGCGGAAAAAAAGACCCATATATGGTGCCAGGAGCCTTGGCGTCTACAGATGTGGCATTTAGCCAGCCTGAAGACTGTGTGGTCAATTTGATTGCAGTGGGACTAAAGGAAGCATCAACAGATTCTCCTAGTTTCCGAGCTTCCGTGAACTACATGAATTCCGAAATCAGATCCTACCAGCTTTTGATCAAAAAAACCATTGATTATCTCAAGCGATTCGTGGCTGCTTGTGCGACGTTGCAAGGCATAAGTTCCGAATTTCAAACAGTACTCAGCTCTGTCGGTCAGAATAGCCTTGCGAACAGAGACATAGCGAAGACATGTATTGAGCGAACCTCACAAGATATGAACGAGGTTTTGAGTTTTATCAATGGTGCCCTTACCTTCAAGAAAGAGCCCATACAGAATTTGATTAATCTTCTTGATGGAGATATTGCTGCGTATCTTGAACTACGTCATGCCTTTGAGGGTATTCAAGCTAAATATGACTCATATCTCGACAAGTTCGTTGCTCAGCCTAAAACCCTAGACCCCATAAATGCCAGAGAAGACGCCCAACAACTCTTCGAGCTCCGAAAGCAATACATCCACATATCGCTTAGCATATGGATTTCCATTACCAAATTGAGACACAAGGTCAGCTCTGCACTTGTCGAACTCTGTGACACTTTGAGGAATTCGTCAGAGCAGTCAAAAAACCTGGCTGAATTCTTGGGATTGGAAGAGTCATCCAAGAAAATAGAAAGGGCAAAGTACTTCATGGAATTGCAGGAGCGCTCACATCAAAGCCTAATCAAGGACCTGCTATCTGCTCGAAGGACCTCTGAGGAAAATGTGGTGAATTTATGCACTCCCTCGAATGACCTTGATTCTTATATACCAGCGACTATCAACATGGCGCATCTCCTGGATACGGATGTGGAGCAGTACGAGAAACACGGTTGGGTGTTTCTTAAGAGCGGAAAAATCAAATCAAAGGAAATCGTTTGGGTCAAGAGGTGGCTTTTCATCAAAGGCGATCTGTTTGGATTTCTCTCAATAAGTACATCCGGTACCTACGTTGAAGAATCTGATAAAATTGGCATTTTGTTGGCTAATGTTCGCTATAAGCCTGAAGAGGACCGAAAATTCTGTTTCGAAATTAAGACTTTACAGACAGAGGTCACAATCCAGGTTGAGACATTGGGCGAGCTCAAAAGCTGGCTCTCAGTATTCCACACTGTCAAAAACTCAGCTTTGCAGCGCAACAGTACGATATCCATGTCAAGATATGAGCCAATGTTGGACCTGTTTGCACTTGAGCCAGTTGTTGAGAAAGACCTCGAGCTCGTCAACCTGCCAAGTACGAAGCCGGAAAATGCGCAAATGCTGTTGAACAAGTCCCTTCCTAGTTTGAAAATGGACGTCAATTTTAGTGCTCCCTTGGTCACCGAACTGACCAACCTTGCTTGCTTGTCACATTTATATTTGACCTCGCCAAAAGTTCCTTCTGCCTTCACTGCAAATGTTTGGGGGTTTGTTAACTGGGGATTATATTACGCCATTAAGAATCGTAATGACTCCATTGAAATTGCTGCAAAAATGCACTCAAGCACGCTAAATTCCATTAACTTACGGTACCCAGCATCTTATCCAATTGAATTGAGGCAATTGGATCTTCAGGTGCGATCTCTTTTCGAATCCTATGTTGGTGCGGACGAATTTGTTTTAATGGCATTCAGAGCTTTCTGGTCGGCGAATTCAAAACAGGGACTGTTTTGTTATCTTTATGCGACTGAGAGTCATATATATGTTTACACCACAAACTGCGGATTGGTTTCAATTTCTGTCTTGAAATTGACAAATTTTCTTTATGTTGACTCGGTCCAGAAAGCAAATTATGACCTGCTTCGATTTTACTTTGTTAGTGGAGTGTCCACGAAAATGAGGCTTTGCCTAGAACCAGGAAATCTGATCAAAGACCAAATCAACTATCTTATTTCTCTGAAAAAATCGTCAATAAGCAAACCTCTCGAAACGATAATAGATGAGCTGGCCAAAATAAAACAAGTTCATTCACAAGTTGAGCCCAAAGGACCTTCCTCAATCCCTTTGACAGTTCCGCAGAATTCAGAAGGGGAAAAGGCTGTTGTTACGATTGCCTCATCTGCAGATATGGATACGGACATGAAACTTAACTACAGCGAGGATATGCATCTCATATGGATTCAAAAGTATGAACTACCTGCGAAAGCTCTGTTCCATGTATTGGTTGGTGATCAATCATTCTTGCTGCAATCTATGCTTCCCTTTGCCCATCTTTCTGTAGACACAGGAACACAGCATACCGTTTGGAGATGCGACTCGCAACAGAAGCTCACACGGATTATTTGGAATCCTGCAATTGAATTACTGTCGGCTGAGCAGCGGATTGAGTCTATGCTAAACAACAAATATTACAACTTCACGCAAACCACGCCATACTTGTATCTTCCTTTTGGAAGTGCGGGCCGCCTCATCATCAGATTCATTATCTTCAACACAGATTCGCGCTCCTCAAAATTGCTCGTTTACTACAAGGTAAAGAGAAACAGAAACATATTAGAATTATTCAGCTCGTTTTTTTTCAGACAGGTGATCTTGTCCAAAATTGATGATCTTCATAAGCATCTCCTGTCTGCTATACGCAATTTGGCTAACGAAAACCGCAAGATTGCGTCGGCGATAAAGCTGTACGGGCCGATTACCAAGTTCGATGCCGATGATTTGACCGAGGAAGAAGTCAGGTTCGCCGAAGACGTCAAGCATGTTAAAGTGGAGTTTTTGCTTAACCTCGTTCTACAGAAAGTCAACTTGGAATTTGATAAGCTGCTTCACGTAGCTACAAAACTAGTCATGGATGCACTTTTTTCAGCGTATAAGAATTGCAAGCTCCATTGGCTGCTGATTTTATCTTTGGGCATCTCATTATTCTTCAATGTTTATTTCTCGGGTAAAACTACCCATGCGTACTGGATTGAACATAATACTGAAAAATACGTGAACTTGCTGGTCCACAAACCAACAGTGATGAAAAGAATGATTTCGATAAGTGATATACAAGACTTCGCACACAACACGAGCGTTCAACTGTCCTATAATGCCACTGAATCTCAATGCTTTTTAGAGTTTCAAAAGCTGGCCGGCGTTGTTGAAGACTCTCCACCAACTGAAGGCAAAGTACAATCCCGTTTGGTGGAATTTGGGTTACAAAGAAATGAACTACTGACAGAGCTCGGGATACTAAATGCTGCAGAGCGAGCATACTTGGCTTGTGAATGGAAACGCTGGGTTTTCGCTGAGCACCAGAATTGCGAGCTTGCTCGTACTAAATACCCTCAAAGATACGATGAGCATCTCTGCCGGTATTGCCAATCGGCAAAGGCCGAAATGGATTATATATCGCACACATTGTTATAAATGTATATGATTGAAACTTCATAGACCCCTCTTTGCCAAATTGTCCGCAAGATCAAGATAGAGCGCGACCGGATTAAAAGTCCGCATTCCGATCACAATTTTGAAACGTTTCGAGATGTTTATCCAGTTGATCAGATCCAGATGATCCACATTTTCTAGGCTCCCCAAATATTCGCCCCACTTAGCACTCTTGATGCTCACCAGGCCATCGTTCGGACCTTCTTCAGGATACACCATTTTCCATGTAGGATAGAAAACACTGAATATGCTTGGTGTGAAGGATGCACCATAGCTGAAGTATTTGACATTCGGGTCGTCTGTAATATGCCTATTAAGGTGAACGCAACTCTCAAGAGTAAGTTCTTTCAGGGAAGGCAGAAAGTTTTCAATGATTCGCGTTGGAATGAGTTGAAGGATGCGATCGGCAGCGTAGCTACCTCTATGGGGAGTCGATACTGTTGTCAAGGAGACAATCTCGAAGCTTTTTTGCTCGTACGCAGAAATAAGGTGTCGACAATCAAGGCCCCCCATTGAATGGGCAATCAGGTTCACCTTGACAGGTTGTTGTGCATTTGGAAAGCGTTTGGATATTGTTCGTTGTAAAAACTCGTTCAATATTTTAGATCTGGTTTCTATGGTAGCAAATGGGGGAACTTTGGCCACTAGAACCTGACATCCACGAGCCAATAGCTCCTTACGTATTCCGTGCCAGTATTCGAAAAACTCAATTTTAGTGTCCGCCTCCCGTGCCATTTCCTTTGCAGATGCTTCTTTATGCTTAGCTTGGTGAAAAAGCTCGACGGCAGGTAAGCTAACAAGACTGTCGAAGCCCGAGAACCCATGACAAAGAACAATTGGATATTTCGGAACCTGATAGTCATCTCGAATGCTATTGTATTTGTATAGCTGTGAAGCCGTTTGGCTTAGATTTTCTTTTGTTCTTTCGAGTTCCGGCTGATGAGATCCATATCGGTAGGACGCCACCAATGGGAAGCGAAGAGGTCGTGAAATGAGTCGACGGTTGATTCTCATCTTCTATAGTTCAAATGCTAATCATGTTCAGGGCGACAAGTAAGTTGTCTATGGCTATCACAGGATAGCATATAAAATCTTCGATTTTTAAAATTTATCATTCTTGAATTTGAATGTTCAGGCAGTGGAAAACTAACTACCTTCAAGTTATCCTTGAGCAGTTTTTATGACAATTATGCTTCTATTTGGTTTCATACTCCTGGTCCCTTCCATTCAGGCAACGATAACACTTGATGAGAGTGTGCCACACTACAGTGTTATCATGGCACCAAATTCGACCGGACCATCGGGTGCAAGTTCGAGTGTCAAGTTCAAACACCTCGATCAAATTTACAGCTGCCACTTTGTGGGGAATGTTGATCAAAAAGACCTCTCTTCGACCGAAAGCAGTTACCAGTCGGATCTTGAGAGTACCGTAGCCACTCTCTGGTCGTTAGGAGACACATATACAAAGCAAAATAAGATGAAATGTCTTTATCAGTCATCCAGTGATTACTGGAAGTACTGCTTCTGTCTCGATGGTAATATTACACAGTTTAGAGGATTCAAGAAACTTTTCGGCGCATCCACTGATACATCTTTGATAGACCCGGAGAAACCCTTTTTTTCTTTGGGAAGTTTCGAGAACGCAAACAAGAAGGATTATACAAATTTCAATTTAGTTTCGAATTATGATGGTCCAATCTATCTCGAGCAAACTATCGGCGGAGGAGATATTTGTGACAAGACAGGTAAACAAAGACTTTCCACCATCCGATATCGCTGCGATGAGACCTACTCAGGAGCAAAGTTACTATCGGTCAGAGAAATCAAAACTTGCCGCTACGAGGTTCAGGTTTACCTTCCAGAAATCTGTAGTTCACCATTGTTCAAAAGCCGACCTTCGAAACGAGAGCAAGTCATTTGTGAAGCTCAGTATACTGCTGCATCTTTGAAGCCAGAGAACATTTTGGACATCAAGTCTGTTAACCTTATTCCTCTTGGATACAGCATTTTCCTGGGATTAGACGAAACAAACCCGGATCGACCTAATGTCTTAGTAACAAACAAACGAGTTCCTGATATCAGTACCTCGGATATTGTTCACGAGTTACTTGGCGACGCAGCAAATGCATTTGCAAACCTAATTTCAAAATCCTTGATATTTCATCCCCACCAAACCGAGCCTGGAAGATATGTATCTGGCAAAGACTCTTTTACTTACACCACGTCAGTTTTCGGCGTAGGTGGAATACATCTGTTCGATATGATGATACTACAGGACGATAGAGGCAAAATTGTCGCTCAGTTAATTTCGGACGGCGCAACACCCAAAAACTTTATCGAATTCAATGGTGTTGAACTATAATCAAGAAAATCATACCCTAATCATATAAATAACATCTGAAGGTGAATTCACCGGCGCCTTTTCAGTGGTCTGTTGTAAGTTGCTATCTGCACGGCTTGCGAATTGTGGGCATCGCTCATCATTGAGGATGGTAACGAACCGTTGTAATTCTGTTGTAGGACCGGGATTTTAGAACTAATCTCTATTTGTAAGCTCTGTGGTTCAATATTTTTGTGCTTTATTATTCCCGTAATCATGCGCTTCAGCTGGTGAAATTTAAGAATTTCACTCTTAGTCGGCTTGAACGACTTCCTTTCACTGGATGTGTTGCTTTTATAACGTTCACGTCTCAATTGATTCAACTCTAATAGAAGTTTAGTGACCGTTTTTTGGGCACAATTGTCACTGACAGCTTGCTGTTCGACTTCATCAATTACGTTTCCGGCATTCCATTGGACCACTTTTTCTAAGTCTATTGGTTCTGATTCTAGTTCAGTCTCTTCCTCACGAGCTTCCTCTACACCATTTTGAGTGTAATCGTGCTTTTCCTCGTCAGCGGGAGTACTAACTTCAAAAGATGCTTCTGGTTCTGCCTTCATGACATCCTGCACAGTTGAATTCTGTGATAATTCTGCGCCGTTTGCACCGAATAAAGATCCTGCGGAGTCTTTGGCATCAACTTCGTTTTCATTCTGCACTTTCTCAAGTTGTTTTTTTATCTGCAATGTTCTTTTGAAGCCATAGTGCTGTAGCCAAATGAGACCTTTCCACTCATTGGAGATAATAGACGGACTTTCATCATACATTGGTGCAAAGGAAAAAGCCTCCTCGTTATTTCCATGCTTGATCCACTGAGAAACAGGGAAGTCGTACCAATTTGGATGAAAACTTTGCGAAAGGATCTCAGTTGGCAGAGCTTGGTGGCTGAGCAGTGTCTGACATAAATGAGATAAACTTTCCATTTTCGCTCCTAATAGACTTGGAACAACTGTCAAGGTTTCAACCGGCACGTCATCATCGAAGTTCGGCTTTCTGTCGTCCAACTCAGAGATGCGCTTGTTCAATGAGGAGAAGAGAGGAACACCATTAGCAGCAGTTAACAAAAGCGCATCTCCCGACCTGTTGATATAGGAAGTGGTAATCAAGTCGAAGTCGCGAACAATGGCCTTTCTCAAACTTGTTCTAGTATCATCCTCAATTTCTGTCTCCAGTTTATTTGCTTTCTGTTTGTTTTCATTGCGAAAAGATTTTCTTGTTTCTTTCTCTTGTAGCACCACTGTACTATCAAATCGTAAGCTTTCCTTCAACAAAAGCTCTACGGCAATTCGATAAAAATGATCAACTTGAAAATGATCCGCTTCTGAGTTTTTACTCAAATAAGCAATCAACGCTGCAATCTTTATGTCATGGTAAATTTGGTAGATGGATTCGTACTCGGCAGAGTCGAATTTGTGTATAATGCTGGCATCCCCCGTAAAGTCGTTTCCGGTCAAATCCAAAAAGTTCAGGAAATTACTTGTTATTTGCTTTGGATCATTTTCGAAAAACTTATCATTTTTTGGTAATTTGATCGAGAGTACCTGGTAAGTATCTATCTGTTTTAGAACTTTTACAAGATCTGTGAAAAAAAGGTTGAACTTGATTCTGTCGTCTTTCCTCATCTTTCCCGCAATAGCTTTTCCAGTTGACAGCAATATTAGTTTGAATTTAAAGCTTAATCCTGTGCGTTGGTGTCCTCTTCTATGACAAATCAGGAGATAAATTCTCTGGTGAGGTGGTGAAACCGTCTTTGATGTCTTCTTAGGATATCACTTTAGACAGCAGTAGAAAACTTTCTTTTACGTTACCTATTGTGTAAATATATTTTCGACGTGGTTATAGGGAATATTAGTTCCCACACTACTGACTTCACACAACGTTAAAATAATGTAATGTGATTTTGTACTATATGACAATTAGTATTATTTAATAACCCAGTTTCCTCTTATTTTGCTTTGGCGAACCTTCATTGCCGGTAGGTCCCAACCAACTCCACCGGTGCCTATATTTGCTCCCATTCTAGGTACAACATAGCACTCTCTCTCTGTTTGACTGATCTCCTTTGGAGCATAAGGGTGACCTAATGGCTTAGAGTATGTTATCAAACCAGATTTGGCGGCCACGTTTGCCAGCGCGCGACCCCCAATATCGGTAAGCGGCTTCATTCTTAATTTTTTAGTTGTAGATGCACTGTTGGCGGTAAGCGATTGATAAACTAAGTAAGATGGCGGCATTTCACCGCACTTGGATAGGACGGAATTTGGATGAATATAAACAAAACCGTCTGAGTCAGTATCACTTGTGGGCATCAATGTAAGGTATCGAATTGCTGTAATCGGTGCATTGTTAGGAATCTTGACATTTTTATCCACGATGTCTGCGCGCACGGCAACGTGGTCAATAAAACCTGCTGTTATCATCTGTTTTATTGCTTCCACTTGGACCTTTGTGGGTAGGCTGAGCTTAAGTTCCTCTTCTTTGACCAGCGGAGAAACAGCTATAGACTCTTTGCTGAGATTCACTTTGACAATGTAAGTCAATTGCTTTCTCAGTTTGACTATTTCATCCATGATCTTGGGTCTCAGAAAGTTACTTTCAAAGAACTTCTCACGATCAGCTCTGGGGATGTGATCTTGTGCACAAATGGCTGACAGCAGTTGCAGTCCATCACTAAATTTATCCAATTTGGTGAACAGTTGGCGGGAGTTGTTGAACTTGGACAACTGTTGGTTTTTCCACTCGTTCTCTTCATCTTCACCCCCTGAAATAATTTCCCACTCGCTGACGAACGGGTCGCCCACTGACAATCCAGAAACCAAAGCAATGATATATGGCAAACAGCCTTGTTGATTTGCCACGAGGAGCATTTTAGCAAACCGGGGGCTCAGTGGAAAGCGGCTCATTTTTTGTCCAAGCTTTGTTATTATCATGCGATCATCCAGTGCACCCAAATGCTGAAGCAGTTTTTCGGCTTTTCTAAGAAGATCTCTAGTAGGCGGCGTGACAAAAGGGAAATTGATGATATTATCTATCCCCATGCTTTTCATTGTCAATACAACGCTCTCCGCGGGCATTCTAAGAATCTCAGGTTTGGAGAATTGTGTAAATTCGCTTTCATAAACTGCCGATGAAAAAAGTCTGTAACAATGACCAGGTCCTGTTCTTCCAGCTCTTCCAGCACGTTGGTCTGCACTGGCTTTTGATATCCATTTAATTTCATATGATTGAACTCCTGTGTCTTCATTGAAACTTCTCTCCTTCGACCTTCCGCAATCAACCACATATCTGATGTTCGGAATTGTCAACGAGGTTTCCGCGATATTGGTAGCGACCACGCAGAGCCGAGCACCATTTGGGGGACGCTCAAAAATTTTCATCTGCTCTTTTGTAGGAAGTAACGAATAGAGGGGTAGTACATACAATGGGTCTTCTGCTGTTTGCCCTTCCTCCAGGGTTTCGTCAAACCCTTCTTCTTCCTCGTCATCCTCTTCATTCGAGTACTCTTCACTGAGGTCATGGACCATTTCATTGACAGAAAAGTCCACCTCCTCAGCTTCTATATCAACATATCTGGAGTCAACTTTGACTTCTGCAACATCGTCATAACTCTTCCCTTTTTTAAGAGGATATCGCTTTCTTAGTCGTCTGACCATTTCATTAATTTCTCCTTTTCCTGTCAAAAAAATCAATATCCCTCCACGTGGAAGCTTCGAGTGGATTTTACATGTTTTTCTGAAAGCCTCTTCGTTGTAGTTGAATGCTGTTCTTCTATTAAAATGAATGGACACAGGATATTGTCTAGTTTGCACGTTTATTATTGGCGGTGGCGAACCGAATAAGTTCTTGTTTTCGCTGAACTCTGATACTCTTAAGGTGGCAGACATAATAATCAACTTTAATGGCTTGTATTTTGCTGGATCTTTGCAGCTCCAATCTCTCCGAAGCTTCAGAACCCTGCTTAGCATTCCTATCAGAATGTCAGTGTTGATGTTTCTCTCATGGGCCTCATCGATGATCAGCGCCGAGTATTTTGTCAAAAGAAAATCTGACATCATTTCCCTTAAGAGAACACCGTCAGTCATGAACTTGACGGATGTTTCTTCCCCAACAGAGGCGTCAAACCTTATTTGATGTCCAACTCGGTTTTTATAATTGCCAAGTTCCTGTCCAACTCTTTCTGCCATAGCAACTGCGGCAACTCTTCTCGGTTGGGTGATTCCAATCATACCCGGAGTATCAGAATCTGGGCTTCCATAACCAGACTCAAAGAGAAACTGAGGAACCTGAGTTGTCTTGCCAGAGCCTGTCTCACCACATATAATAACGCAATCATTGTGATGAATTGCCTCCATGATTCTGTGCTCTTCCTCAAAAACGGGTAGCTGCATTCTGGCTTTCTGTATACTGTCATCTCTCTGAACATCTATAGTGACTATCTTTCTTTGCAAGCCCTCATTAATCGGAATGAAATCTTCACCCAAACCATCATCCAAATCTTCTTGCCGGATTATAGGCGTGTAAGACTTTTGTGGTTCTGAGGGGGTAACGAAATCGGGTACGACTTCAAGATTTTTGACCTGGGTTTCAGCCCATTCTTTAAAACTTTGTGCACGCTTGCTATGTCTCCTATTGGTCTCATCTTCTCCTTCATCTTCCCCATCATCAAATGCATCCTCGCTCTCTTCTCCTTCTTCTTCTACTTCTTCTTCTTCTCTTTTCTTTAATTTCTTCTCTCCGGCTTCGTCGACATCATTACTGGCCACTTCTTCTTCTTGTTCTTCTTCTTCTTCTCCTTCATCCTCGTCACTGGCAAAATCCAGTCTATCCTCGACAGCCTTTTTCTTCGACCGTTCAAGCTCAAGCTTGACCCTCCAGCTATATTTCTTAGTTTTTTTGTTCTTAGGTTCCTTTTTATGACTTGTGAATCCAAATCCAGATGTTAAATTCATTGGAACCGAGATATTTGTTTTGACCTCGGCTTGGCAGTCTTTATGTGCTACCTGTTCCTCTTCATCGTCCCAATTTTTTATTGTTCTCTGCTCATAAAGAGTGTCCTGTGTTTCTTTATCTCCTTTTCCTTGTATTTCTTGCTCTAGCGCTTCCAAAAAGCGTTCTCGTTTGGTCTGATGTGTCCCTGTTCCGATAAGTTTGGCAGATTTCAGAACGCTTGAATCGATCCTAGTTTCACTAAGCTTCTGGAGGAGAATTTCCTTTTCCTCTCTTTTCATCTGGTGTTCGATATACTTATCAAGCCGTTTCTTTTTCTGCCTTGAGAGCTTCTCCTTATGCTGTTCTAGTAAGCTTTCTTTCAATTTCCTTTTTCTCTTGCTCTTCTCGCGCTCCAGCATTGCCATAACTTGCGGCTCTTGATCTTGACTCTGGCCTTCAGTTGTTTCCTCAAGATTCTTTTCGGTTGATGACGGTACCTGACCGTTGTACTTTCGCCCCATAATGTCCTCTTTGATCTCTCAACTCAAGACGATTATTAACAATAAACTTAAAAAAAAAAAAAAAAAAAAAAAAAAAATTGAGCCGCTTATGTAACTATAACTCTTAGTGGTTATTATGACGAACTCGAACGATCTGCCCGATTACGGATCGCTTAACTACAGAAATGTTGAGAGAATCACGCTAGGCAGCTTTGAATTTGATACATGGTTTGGCAATTCCGTAATTTTCTTTCAATCGGAGCCTCAACTTCTTGGCTATGAAGTTCTCGAAAAGAAGACTAAGCACACATCCTCTACCAAAAAGGCCAGTCAGCTCACTAAAGATCGCCTACCTTGGATAAAGAGACTCTTTTTTTGCGCCTATTGCTTCAAATATTCAACTAATGAAGACGATTCATCACGCCATTTATCTTATTGCTCATACAGGAGAAATCTGCCAGGACAACTGATGTATCTTGATGATGTATGTTCGATAAGAAGAGTGAATGGGAAACAACATAGACTTTTTTGTCAATGCCTGGCCATTCTGGCAAAGTTCTTTCTCGACAATAAATCGGTTTTTTTCAACGTTGACCTTTTCGATTTCTTCGTGATCTATCAAACATTGGAGGGAGTGTCCACTCCTATGGGCTTTTATTCCCGCGAACTAGTATCGTGGGAACAGAATAACCTCTCGTGCATTTTTGTAATTCCCTGCTATCAGAAACAAAGATTGGGTTCCAAGCTGATTGAATTTTCCTATCATCTTTCTAACCATGAGCAAATCATTAGCGGGCCGGAGAGGCCGCTATCCCCTTTTGGAAAGCTAACCTATCTGAGTTACTGGTGTCGAACACTCTCAAGAGAGCTGTTGTACGGTAAGTTGTCGACTTTTGATCATGTGACCTTGGAGCTGATAAGTTTTAAAACAGGCTTCAGATCTGAAGATATCCTTCTCACTCTGGACTATATGGAGGCTTTGTACGAAGTCGGAGAGAGATTCATTTACACAGACTACTATAGCAATCCTTGCCACAAAGATCAACGATTTGTTTTCTTAGAAGACGCTGGATACAGAATGTTTATCGATAAGGCGAAAATAAGGAACTGGGTAGTTAATCGTCACATCTCGGCAGAGTCAAATCTTGATCCACAATACCTACTGTTAGACTGACATGCTCAATCAGCAAATAGGATTTTGATTTCCTCGACTTTCTTTTTTCGTCTCTCCTCATCGTTCATAGATAATGCCTCTCCGAGTTGATTCTTGCGTTCTTGAATCTTGAGCATTCTTTCCTCTATGCTTCCTTCCATAATGAATCTAACAACTTTCACACTTTTATTCTGTCCAACTCTATGAATACGATCTATCGCTTGGAACTCGGTGGCATTATTCCAATGAGGGTCAAGCAGAAAAGCTTTCGATGCAATAGTAAGATTCAAACCCACCCCTCCTGCCTTCAGACTGATCAAAAGAACGGTTATTTTCCCGTCTATTGTTTTTGTGTTAAACTCGTTTAGTATTACCTGTCTTTGATCCACGTTCAATCTCCCATCAAACTTCAAGATTCTGAAATTTGATGTGTATCTCTTCAGCTCTTTCTCGACAAGATCCAAAAAACTTGTGAATTGGGAGAATACAATTACATGGTCTCCAGGATTTTCTTCATAAATCTGCTGAAGGTGTGAGAGGAGAGCATTAATTTTCGATGATTTCCCATAAGGATTGTATGGACGAATATAATAGTTTCTTTCATGCGTATGGTCAACCTGTGTCAGGTAAGCGTCGTAATTATCTGCCTTTGAAGAAGGACGACCTTTGAACTCAGGTTTGAAAGTTCTGAATAAACGGTTCTTATGAATTGAGTGTCTGCAAACAGGACAAAGTACTTCTTTGGAAAGTATCGAAATGTCGGGAATCTGAGATTCATTCAAATTGTTGCTAGCATTGATGGATTTGTGAAGCCGTGACTGAAAGTTGAAATGCTCCATAAGACAGCCGAGACAAAAACAATGTTTACATTCAGTAATCACACATGTTTCAATCTCAATGGGACCTGTGCAAATGGTGCATTCGACATCGTCAAAGCTTGGATAGGATTGGTAAATTTCCCTCTTCATGGAAAGCAATTTCTCGAAAGATAGTTTGCTTTTTTCTTCTTCTTTCTCAAGATCTTGCAAAATTCGATAACTCTCGTCTACAGCCTGATCTGCCACCAAGTTCGAGCTCTCTTTCAGGTCTTCATCCTCGTTCAAAATATCTCTGAAAGACAACCTGATGAGGTCCAAATGGCAACATGATTGTCGTAGACGCAAAAGATGAGTTAAAATCGACGAGTAGTTTTTCAGAACAAGCCCTGCCTTCATATTTTCATTGAGCACGTTGATTGCCTTAGCTTTCAGATGATTATAAAGAACTTCCTCTTTTTCATTGAACTTCAGTCTTTCGATTATGATCTCCCTCGACGGTAGTGACACTAGTAGATTTCCATCTTTGTCCTTCTGATCTTTTGTTCTTCGAAGAATTATTGGATCCAAAATTGATTTCAATAGAGCGAATGCACCATCCAAGTCTCTCCCCTGATCAAACGGTTCTGTAATAAAGCGCCTCCAAATGTAATGCTTCGCCCACGGTTGCAGATCCAAAAAAACTAAAAGTGAGTATAAATCGTCTAATCTGTTGACGATTGGAGTACCTGTGAGAACCCATTTTCTTCTTGATAAGAGCGAAAGTACAGCCTTTGTTGTCTTTGCTGATTTGTTCCTAATATTGTGACCTTCGTCAATGATGATACGGAAAAAAGTAACAGAAAACAAACCTATTCTATTGCCTGTCTTATTGATTCTTGCTGCTTCGCTCTGAACAGTTCCATATGTGGTCAATATCACAGTGGGTGCAGTGGGGTTTTCGCATAGTAAAAGACTCAAATCACCTAGGGTTTCAGTGCCATAGTATATATAGCATATTCTGTGCGTATTACCATTGGCCTTTGCAAATTCCCTTTCCCATTGAGATAATATTGCCATGGGAACAACAACAAGCGTAGTCTTATGAGCATATCTATCTCTGCGGCGTGGTTGAGTGTAGGATTTATCTTCGTGGCAGCTGAGAATAAGCGCAAGAGTCGTAATTGTCTTCCCTAATCCCATTTCATCAGCTAGTATTCCACCATAGGAATGGTTCTGTATCATAGGGCAATAATGAGAACATGCACCTGTGTAGAGATTCACATAGAAAGATTCTTCCGTATTTCCACATGAATCATCTGATCTTGATGAGAACGTAGGCCATTTGCATTCTTTCCATAAAGGATTTTTAGTGCCACTCGTTTCTGCGATCTTCTTTTTGAGGTCTTCTTTCTCTTCATCTGTCACTTGTGGATTGTTGAGTCCAACCAAATCATATTCTTGCTCGCGGAAAAGCATCCAGCTCAATCCGTATTTTTGATAAGGACGTAATTCCAACATAAAGTCATTGGGTATTGAATCCGGAAGACGTGTATCCTCATAATTTAGTTCAGTAGATTGATACAAAGATTTTAGCTGATTCATGGTCATCACTGCGTCATTCTCCTCTAAATGCTGGTCCAGAAACAGTTTCTTGCTTTTCTCTTCTGGTTCCTCAAGACTTACTAACTTTCTTGCTTCTGAACTCTGATTGCTCTCCGAAAGTGTGTGCAACTGCTTAAACAAGCTGATTAATGCAGCTCCTTTATCCATAGCAAAGTGGGTGTTCGCTGACTTGCCATTCTGGGCATTTTTTAACGTGCTCTCCAAGTCCCCTTCATCAAAGGGTCTTGGTTCGAATAGTTGATCAGTCACAAAGCAGTCAAGCGTTATGTAAAATGGATCTCCGGTCCTAAGTTTCCTATTTGACATAGGGCTCAATGACGCACTAAACTCAATACCATGACTTTCCATCAATGGTGCTATCATTTTTGCATACCTCTCCAAGAATCTCCCAATCTCCCGCCTGTTCCCTGACTTCTCGATTTTACTAACATGAACAAAGTTACATTGGGGTTCGCTGTTAGATAACAACAGTTTTTCATTGGGGTCAAGCAAGCCGGCCACGTATCTTGTACACCAACATTCTACTTCAAAAGTGCCCACGTATCTCCTCCAGTTGGCTAGCCGCTTTTGTCTCTTATTAACATGTAATTCAGAATCTAGGGTCTTCTCTGATAAATCATCAACTTTATAACTAATATTATGGTTTGAGGGCGTGGAAAAAGTGTGCTCTTTGTTTGTTGTACAGTCTCCATGTTGATACTTCCTGGGATTATCTAAATATGCATTTATTGCGAGTGACAATGCTTCAGGCTTACTATGAAATTCATAAAACAGTTGTTTGACGGTCTGTGATTTTAAATCTGAAAATATTGATTTTAATTCAGACTGAAACGAATCGAACAAATACTCATCAATATTCCCCTTTTTGCGTGTTTCTGGCTTTTGTGCTACTTGCCTCCTAGCAGGACTATGGTCGAAAAATCTCCTTTTATCAGGCATCACTCACTTGCCTTGTCAAATTTTATTAAGATCTGTACATGTTATTGTAGGAGTCCCTGCTCACATCTGTACACCTCAAACAGAAGAACAAATAAGTTATTCTCTAGAGGGAGAATGTTCGTAAGTTGACCATAGTTTCTTGTATTTGATCCGTTGCCCTAGATGGGTAATATTAACGGTTTTAATGGTGAAAGGATTGAAAATCAATAGAAACGCTCGCTTATGAACGCATTCAAATATAATCAGAGCGGGATTAAGTAATGCACTGAATCACTTTCTCTCTCAGATAGCTTCCACTTACCCTTGATTTCAAGCTTACTTTATAAGCATTCAAATTCTGCTATTTGCACTGAGAAAAATACTGTCGTTTGACACCAATAAGTATAGTCTTCAAAACTCGAGTACGTCTACCTATATGTACACCATCAGAATAACTTAACTTCACTACCTGAATCAAGGTAGGGGTGATCATCTGATTATAGTTCAAAACCTAAAGCTGGACTCGTGTTTTCTAAATTATGAAGATATGGGCCGAATATTAGACAACCACAAGGATCCTATTTTCGATTATTAAGTTCTATCCCAATATGTTTACACTGTGTGCCAAATTGCTTGATAACTCTACATTGTCAGGATATATTGATGATCTGAAACCAAGTGAACACGAAGTGGAAGGCGGGATGAAGTGATTTATCTTGACCCTGAATGACTGATCGTATTTTTTCTCGGTCGAACATTTTGGTTCGCACTCTTTTGGGGAAAGTTTCATTGATCTGAAAATGTAACTCGGGCGATGCGTGTCATTGTCACCAAAGTCTGGATAATCTCTTAAAGCAAAGAATTAGACCACAAGCCAAGATAGCTACTCTAGCTATGGCTCAAGAAACGTTGACTTCATTTGGCAGCCTATTTAGTTTTTTTCCATTAGAAGGTAAACTCTATCTAATGTGTATCCTTTTGGTGTACAAAAAGAATGCGACTGCGGAGAGTACAGCGCAGTATGTGATTAATAATATAAGGGCCATGATATCACTCATGTCAATTGTGCTGAAGGTCAGGTTCACAAGGCCCGTAAGCACGTTTGCCAGTACGAAAACAGTCAGGCCATTGTAGTTCACTGCGCGTAGGCCCACTGGAACACAGTCCTTATGACGATGATCATTCACTGCTGTTATTTTGTTTTCACTGCGTGTCAGTTCATATTGGGGTTCTCCCCATATAAGATTCTCAACAAGCTTGAAGCCAAATAAGAATGTATAATTGTAAGCACAAACCCAAATGACATATAAGGAATTGGCCATCCTTCGAGACACTCCATAAATATAGCATGTATCTAATATGTAATACAAGGCATGAAAAAGAGCTGCTAGAATGAACAGCCCTTTGATTGGTGATACTGTGAATGCCCTGTTTTTTCTATTGCTCAGGCACTCGTCTTTGGACCCATTAGCTCTTAGCAGATTCTTGCAGGTAGGGAAAAGGGGCAAAATCGTATATCCCAGAGAAATCCCATTCAAGTATATTGCAAGATACCCTGCTAAAGAAAAAAGTCCCTCTTTGTTCATGCCGATCAATCCTTCTCTTTTCGAATTGAGAATGTATTCCAGTAATTCATATTTTGTCAGGACAACCTCATATAATAACATTATTATAAATCCTGTCACAATTGGTGAAAGTAGATCAATGATTGGCGCAAAACTGTTTGCAACCAGTGGAATAAGACTCAGGGTAAAGAAGAAGTTCCAATGCATTCCGTACTCGGTGATATGTTCTTGGTAATCAAACAGCTTAACGCTTGTCAATCTCAGAGCACCCAAAACAAGTATGGGTATGCTATTTTTTATCGATGTGATCAGATTCCTAACGTAGTTATAGTTTGAGTCAAACCTTTGTCTAATAGTTTGTCTGGCGCTCACGAGACCCATTGAGAATACGAAAGATCCGACCCCAAGATCCATCAAGCTAGTGCCCCATGTTTCAACTTTGGCAAACCTCCTTGGAAAAACAGGGAAGTCGACTGACAGAATACAAATACACGTAATTATCATCATTTGTGCACGGTAAACAGTCACATAGGCTAAAATTGGTGTAAACTGAGTGGATGATAAGGTGGTCAGGTTGATTTTGATTGTTTTTCTGCCCGACTCTTTCGTCCTCCTGAGCACTATTAATAATAGCGGTATCATTGAAGCAGCAATCAATGTGATAATATTGTTAGAGTAGCACGTAACAGAAAGCAAAAGGAGAACCCAGTTTATCAAAAAGTCTAGAACCATAGCCTGAACATCATTGGAATCACTGAAGACAGATGTTTTTTTTTTCAAAACTGACCACACTAAATAAGATATAATCGATACAGATGTCACACCATATATGTCAATGGTCGAACCACCTGTAAGTCCTGTTACAAATTCTTCTTTTCTTTCCTTCAAAGATGCAGACATAACCTCTAGACGATAACCAACTGACTTCGACCTTTTTTTTTTTTTGTTTTTCAGCTCAGGGCTGATCTGACTTAACCTTCATAACACATGCATTTTTTGGAAAAGTTTACAATCTAATGAATGAGGAAGTATGTCACTCTAGTAAAAAACTAACTCTAGTTACTTTTGAAAACTGCGCTCAAGATGACAAGCTCTAAGCTTCGATTCAAGATTGGCAAAATGAAGTCAATCAACAAAGCCACTCTTTTTCAGCTATCGAAAGATCTAAAAGCTCTTAGCAAGACTGGTGGAACTCAATTTGATCGTGAATTAATATTAACTAAACTCAAGATTGCACAAGTCGTAAATGATGACAATACTATTGACTTATTCGAGATATTGGTAGTTGATTGTGAAGTACTGCATTCGAAACTACACCAACTTCTCTGCAAGTCAGATGATGAAGATATTGTTAAACTTGTGCGCGAATTGATGTATGTGAGCTCATACGTCAATATTAAGGAATTCAAAAAACTTGTGGCTTTATTAGCTCACAAGTACGGAAAAGAATTCTACGAGAACGCATTAAATCATCCCGATAATCCAGAGATAGTCCATAAATGCAACGGCAAGAACGTTGATTCCTTAGTTGAAATGTATTTGCAAGAAATCTGTGATTGCTATCAAATTTCCTTAAAAAATGAAGCGAAGGATATTAGTGCGCCAAAAAATGAAAGTACCGATTCTACAACGAAAAATGAAACTGATTTGGACGATCTTAGAAGAAGGTTTAACGCGCTGAGAAAGTAGTCTTTGTTTGACCATTTAGCATGTGATTATAATGGCGATACAAAAATACTAGATACGGATTAGCTGGTGAGCCAAAAGCAGTCGAAAGAAATGGAAGAGAAAAAAATCAAATCACGAAATCATTTAGCTGAAAAAGGGAGTCATTGATTATCATCTCACAATGATTCCCGTAAAAAAGTGCGCTCTTGTTTAAAGGTCCCTTTTTGTTCTTTCGTCTAATGTCTGCTTGGCAGCTTAAATTATCAACCAAAGCTAAATTGATTTTATCGTGGCTGTAGCGGTATTCGAAATTCCTTATGCGAGACAAGGTGCTCGAATGATCAATGGCAGTCTTTGGCGAAAACGAATTCAGGCGCTCATTATCTGTATCGTTGGTTGTGCAGCTATCCTCACCCAAGTTCAGAAATTCATCAAACGAAACCTCTGAGGACTCATAGGGCTCCAGTGTTTGAGACTGATTTTCGATTACAGGTGGCGACATTGCATTTTGATTCTCATTTGAAAGTGAGCGAAAGGTCGAGGTCTCAGATAATAGTTGACAACTGCTTTGTTTCGTCGAAATCTCTGTTACACAAGGCGCCTTCAAGTTATTCCGTTCTTTGTGCTTGACATCTAACTCATCCTCGAATGATTTCAAAACGCTCTTATCGTGGATATCTAACATGTCCACTTCCGCATCGTGATCGCTTAGCTGTCTAATTAGTCGGTCAACCTGCTCCAAGCCTGTGGTTAAAGACTCCAGCTTTGAGTTGCAAGAGTTATAGTCACCTCCAAGGGTCGTTAGTTCGTGAAACCTGGGAAGCTTAGAATCCATGAACTCTTCATCCTCCGATGATGGGAAACTTAGCAAATCATCGTCAGAACCTGTCTCCTCATTTTCCTTTGTGTCTTCAAGCTCCTTCTCTCTGAGCATATCAAGCTCTACCAATCTTCTCTGACGCTGTAACTTCATTTCGCTATGAAGATCAATTGTAGTGCGCGAGGGATGGGAAAAGAATGGTTGTTGATTGATAATGTTAGAGAAATTAAACCGCAGGTCACGCTTCGAAATGAATTTCTCGTTCTCAGCATCATATGCTGCCGAAACCTCATCATCCGTTGCCCTGTAACCAACGTTCTTCACCAATTTTCCTGCTGCATTTGTTTTCAAAACCTTCCTCTTTTTCCTTAGCTCCAAATCAGACTCGTGAACTCTTTTGGCTTGCTTTTTAGTATTTAATGCCCTCTTGCTTTTGTGTGAGCCGGACATTGCAGTAGATCCTTCGCTTCTGACGTGAGTTAATGGTTACCAATAGCAGGATAATTAGTGCTAAGGTTCGAAGTATTTGCCACTAACAAACACTAAAAGAATATTCGTTAATTTTCAATGGACCTTCTTCTTTCTAATTAATAACTCCCGCAAGAACTTGAGATAGAAAATTATGCATCCTATGAATAGCAAGGAGCATTGTTTATCGACAATAATAATGCAAGGCAAAAAAAAAAATTTTGAGCTCTAAGAAAAAAAAGAAAAGCTACGACAACTCGAGTAGGTGAGGAATTCTGGTCTACTGTCTAAGTTGCAAAGATGCACTCGAAATAGGCTTTCACGGCCACATTAATCAGATAGGTACTAAAATTGCATATGAGTTATAGCCATCCTTAACGAGATCGTACCCTCTACATTAAACATAAAGAGAACGTTAATAAACATAAAAATTCAATAAACGGCGGTGAATTTTCTTGGGTCAAATCAGAACTTGAACATAAAGAATAGATATCATCTCGCACAAATTTGACTATTTACATAATGTCTTGAATTCACACTTATTCTTCATTCTCATTTCGATCAATACCTGCTACATTTGAGGAATCATCAAGGTTTCGCTCAGGGACTATTGTCAAATGTTCATTTTCTGTGTCAACCTTTACGACACAATTGTTTTTGATCTCCCCCTTCAACATCATGATGGACATTGGATTCAGTAAAGCCCTCTTGATTAGCCTATTCAGTGGCCTGGCGCCATATTGCGGTTCATAGCCATTGGCTGTTAACCAATCTTTGGCATTATCTGTCAAATGGAGCTCAATTCTTCTTTCCGAGAGCCTGTCTTGTAAATCGCCAATTCTCAAGTCAACGATGTTCCTCAATGCTTCCTTGGATAGCTTGTTGAAAATGACCACTTCGTCAATCCTATTGATAAACTCTGGTGAGTAGTAAGACTTCATTAGTTGAAGAATCTGATCTTTGTCTGGTTTATCTGAGAGCATAATATCTTGCCCAATGTTTGAAGTCATAACGATAAGGGTATTACGGAAGTCAACTTTATTTCCCTGCGAGTCTGTCAACTTGCCTTCGTCCAACACTTGTAATAAAAGTTTCGACACATCAGGATGAGCTTTCTCGAACTCATCAAAGAGAATCACTGAATAAGGTTTTCTTCTGATTTTCTCCGTTAATTCCCCACCTTCTTCATATCCCACATATGAAGGTGGGGCACCAATAAGTCTCATGATAGAATGTTTCTCTTGGAACTCCGACATGTCAAATCTGATGATAGCATTCTCATCATCAAACAGAAAATCCGCGACCGCTTTCGTAAGTTCTGTTTTGCCAGTTCCTGTTGGCCCTAAGAACATAAAAGACGCGATAGGCCTTTTCTCATTCGTAAGGCCAGCCCTCTGTAAGCGTATTGCATTTGAGATCGAAGCTATTGCTTCATCTTGTCCTATCACTCTTCCTCTTAATGCAGCCTCCATATACAAAAGTTTATCCTTTTCACCTCTCATCATATTCTGGACTGGAATTCCAGTAGCTTTTGAGACTACTCTTGCTATGTCATCGGAAGTGACAGATTCGTGAAGTAGGCTTGCACCACCTCCGTCCTCGTCTACCTCAGCCGCAGCCTCCTGGTTTCTGATCGACGCATTGAGTTTTGCTTCTAATTCTGGAATCGTTGCATATTGAAGTTTCGAAGCCTGGGCAAAATTGCCCTCCCTTCTCTCTTTTTCCAAATCACGCTTAGCTATTTCCAATTCTTGCTTCAACTGTTTTATTCTATCCAGCTCTTGTTTTTGTTTCTCCCAAATTTCTGTGAGTCGTTTGAGCTCTGCCTGCTTGTACTTCAATTGCTCTTCTAGCTTCTCTCTTCTTTCTTTGCTCAAGGTATCCGACTCCTTCCGAAGAGATTCTAATTCGATTTGAATAGTCATGATGGATCTATCCAATTCTTGAATAGAGTCCGGTTTTGATTCATGCTGCAGGCGAAGAGCAGAGCAAGCCTCGTCAACCAGATCGATTGCTTTGTCAGGTAAAAATCGATCGGTGATATACCGATTACTATAAACTGCTGCAGTGACAAGAGCACCATCAGTTATCCGAACACCATGATGTACCTCGTACTTTTCTTTCAAGCCTCTCAAAATGCTAATTGCATCTTCAACAGTGGGTTCGTTCACCAAAATTGGCTGGAATCGTCTGGCAAGCGCAACATCCTTTTCAATGTACTTTTTATATTCATCAATGGTTGTAGCACCACAGCATTGTAGTTGGCCTCTAGCAAGGGCGGGCTTAAGCAAGTTTGAAGCATCAATTGATCCCTCCGACTTTCCTAAACCTAGAAGGATATGAAGCTCGTCGATGAAGAGAATGTAATGTTCGTCCAGTTCTTTCAAAAACTGTTTTAGTCTTTCCTCAAATTCACCTCTGTACTTCGCTCCACTAATCAGTGAGCCTAAATCCAGTGATATGACTTCCTTGTCTTTCATGCTTTCTGGAACCTCGCCTTTCACTATTCGCTGTGCCAGGCCTTCCATTATTGCAGTTTTTCCTGTACCAGCATTTCCTATCAACACAGGGTTGTTTTTGGTTCTTCTTGACAATATCTGGATAGTTCTACGTATCTCCTCATCTCTTCCAATGACGGGATCGAGTTTGCCTTTCTTAGCCAATTCGGTCAAATTGGTTGCAAATTTCTTCAATGCTGGTTCGTCTGATTGCTCTGAATTCATCTTCATCTGAAGATGCAACCTTGAACCTCCAGAAAAATGTCTACAATAGTAACTTTGACCAAATCTTGTTAATGGCATAGTTGATAACATGACACGGTTCATCTTCGATATCCTGGAAGATTGCCTAAGAGAGGCTAATAGGGCGGGTTCACCCATATGCACATTAAATGTGCTAATTTCGCCAACACCATGAAAACTTCTGGATCCCTTCTTGATACTTGACAAGCATGTGCGCCACATAGTTCAAGTTCTTAAAGAAAGACGTTGATAAGAACTGAGAGGTCTTCTTTTATACGTAACTTAATCAACAGGATGCTAGAATTTTCTAGGATACCCCGGATTAAATTTCGTCGCGTCTAAAAAGCCTATCATGATTAAACGTTATTGAAGGTGCGTGGAACTTTGCTCTGGTCTTGCAATTTTGTGTAGGCACAACTCACCTGATTTGAACACCTGAGATATTGCAGTGACCTAACAAGCCTTGATTAATGTAGGTTTTTCTGACTTAGTCGTCGCTCAATTGCTACAAAGGAAGCGGACTACAGAGTTAGCACGGTTTGCATATCTTTCAGAGAGTTGTTTGTCGGGTTACCGTTGAAACCTAAACTTTTGGTGACCTGTTCAGTTTGCTGTTATAGTACATAAATGTGTCACTTCGAGCTACAGTACTTTAATTCACTTGCATACTCATATATGCAGCGGCTACCCGGTTGATTCAAAATGTGTATTTTAGTACTCGGGTTCCAGCTTGCCCCAAGCTCGTGGCGTGCCTTCAATTGTATTCATCTGCCACCACAAGCTCCATTATCGTCAATTCATAAGGGTGGAAGCGAACCCACAATTATATTATTTTTTTGCGGGTTTATTTCGGATCTTGTCAAGCTAGCTTTGAGCTGCTCTTCCCCTGAGTCACTAGTGCTAGTTGCCTCATTTGAAACTTGATGATCCGGTGCGGCTTTTAAAAGAGGAGATTCGGATCCCGATATAGAGATTTTGTCCTTGTTCGGGCCAGGTGAGGTTTGGCTTTTTGCAACGGATGGTTTTGGAGCGATAGTGATTAGGGATGAATTAGATTCGGCTTTTTTCATGCTTGGAGTATTTAATTTCTTCTTCTTGTTGCTTGATGCATTTGTTGATCCTGTCGGTTTTCTTTTCACCGCGGTTGATTTATTATCATCAGAAATGGGACCATAGTAAACATAAAATCCATCCTTGTTGTTTTTCGTCTGTTCTTCAAACAGGAGCTCTTCATCATCAATAAAAGGATCTAGAAGGTCGTATTTTCCAATCCTTTTATTGCTCTCCATTTTTCGTCTATGGATTTCTTTCAGGATCATTTCTTCCTTTTCTTCGTCGGTCATTCCCGCTCTAAATTTCATTCCCAGCTTCCTTAGAGTGTCATCCTCTTCATCTCCTTCTGCAGTGTCTTCTTCGTTTTGTTCTTGAACTTCATCTTCAGCGATGTCTTCGTCAATTTCCATATTTTCAAAGGATATCCGTCCGTTGGGATGCATGACGTCAAATCCATATTTGTCTTCACAGAGTCTCATCACATTGAATATCGCCTGCGATTCACCAGGCTGCTTCCCGGGGGGCACCAGTGGGATATGTAAGGCAATTATCGGTTCTTTCGTATTCTCATCGAGCCGATTGATTTGGCTCTCGTTGAGTTCCAACACAGAAGGTGCGGGTAAGGAGGACATTGATTTTTGTAAATGTTTTCTATCATCGTTTTTAGAAGAAGGCTTCGATTGAACAGTAAGGTTGACTGGTACATTCGGGGACTCAAGTTTCGACGTATTCAGTTTTTTCTTCGATTGTTTGTCAGTACCTTTTGCAGGATCTGCCACTTTCGACCTTGATGATTTATTTCTGGCGCTCTTTGTTGACTCTTTCTGGTCAGAGTTCTGCTCGCTTGATCTCAGCGAAACAAGTTTCTTTGAGGCCTCGGACTCCTGCAAAGCATTGCTGTTGTTTGAAGTATCATGTTCCATGCAGCCAGGCGTACCCTTGTGAAGTTCTCCTCCGGTAATTATATTGGATGACTGAATATGAGATGGTGATCGAGTGCGAGTAGTATTACATTCATCGGCATTAATCATCGAGCTCAAAGACATCCGATTCACTGGTTTTGTTTGCTCCGATAGGGCTACTTCTGTTGGCACATCTGGCCTGGGAAAATTTCCTGTTGGTCTGTTACTCGATTCTGATATAATCCACCAATCTTTATTGGAATCAAGGGAGCTGGTGTGCTCTGCAGAGGCTTTCTTCTCAGTGTCTTGGGTGTCGGCATTCAACCGGCCCCGTCGCATTATATTGGCTTCATATGAAACAGAATCCCCTAACACTCCTCCGTGACTGTCATCTCTTGATGCAGGTAACGGCCAATCTGACTTACCCAGAGACTCCATCACTCCCGAATAGCGATTAATACAGAGAACGTAACTAATAAAAATATCAATTTTACGTCTGCTTAGCTAACTAAAATGCTCGAGCGATTGGAATGAAATAAATACTGTTTTCATTTTTTGAAAGAGTTGGTCTAGCACAGTCTAGTCTACCCAACCTGAAAGGATTGAGCTTTCTTCAATATAGCTATTTGTCCACTTAGGAAGTAACTTACTTAGGGAAATATTATGACTGCGGAGGTATTTGCCTTCAGTTCTCACGTTCTTTGTTTTTTCCATTGCAGCATTTCGGCTATGTTCCTTTGGTTTCGTAGAGAATTCCAAGAATATTAATGGCTGAGATAATAGTGAGCAAAAGCGAATCCCAAAGACATTGTCACTTGTTACAAAACATACAGTTTTCAAGCTAAAATCATGAGCTGGCGAGATAAAATGATCACAGTTTCACGAGTCGCAATTCATGATCTCTTGAGGGTATTAGTTTTCTTTGCGTCACTAGTGTCAGGTTTATATTAGTGAAGTCATCCTCAATCCTGGCTGACCAAGTTTCTGCTTTTTCGTCTTGGTTATATAACCTTTGTAGTTAGAAGGGTATATGAACTCAGAACTCGAAAGAAGCGAGGATATTTCCTGCAGACTATTTCGTGTTTAGCAAGATCAAGAAATGGCTAAAATAAGAAATGCAGTCATTTGGCGTGCAGTATATAAATATGTGTGCCATATAGGCGAGCACCATACTGTGATTTGTGGTTTTGTCACTTGATACAGTGGCTTGGGAAGAACCGACATATCCATGATCTATTTTTTTAAGTCAACACTATCTTTCACCTTGCCTTATTTCTTGATGCTATCAAGGACAACCCTGGGGACTATTCGTCGTGAGTTTCATGTTTCGTAGCTATGCTTTATCAAGCTGAGGCGGCCCAACGTTTCCAAGTTTTTTCAGCGTCAAGAAAACATCAGTCCCATAACCCTCAACAGAACGCATGTCAAGTTCCCCGTTCCAGTAGTCGGTATAAACCTTGCACATAGGCATCGAGATTCCTAGCGTAAATTCTAGTGGCCGCCTGACCAAAGATATGAGCACAGACTTTTGTTTATGATCGCCACTAGATTCCATTTTTCCAATATTGTGGATCATTTCACTCAAATCCCGATAATCAGTTGCGCTCTCAGACACAACAGGTGAAGAAAAGTCAAAGTTGAGGCCAGGCATTTTGTGAAAATTTGAAAGATATTCTTCTGCTAAAATAGGAGACTTCCCAAAGGACCACACTTTTTTGAGTTTGTTTGAAGACATTCCGCCGCCTTGATCGGAGAACTTGAATGTCATGTTTTTCTTTGTCTGGGTTATCTCCACGACTATAGGAGGTGGCTTTAGCTTTCTTACCTCATCTGGACTTAAATTCCCGTGGCGATGTATGAAATTCTGAATTGTTGATTTTAGTGAGTTCCGGAGAATCTCTGCATAAATATAATTCAGATGGTTTGTCAGGAATTGAAATCTGACATCTTCACCGTATATTATTAATTCCGGCATCTGGAACTCGGGGTAAATACTTTGTAGAAAACTCGACACAATATCCTTGCACGTCCTGAGCTGTTCATGTGCAGAGACATATTGAAATGCAGCACCTATATAATTAGGCGGTCTTTGTAAAGTGTCCTCATCTTGATTTTTGAAAGATTCAGATAGGGTTGTGTGTTGCTCGATGATAACTCTCCGGCTTATTCTAGATCTAAGCATCGAAGACATAAAATCGTCTAGCTGTTCTTGTCGCATTTTCTCCAAAATAGATACTTCTAGAGCCCCCATCATGAGATGTGGTAGCACAAGCAAATGATCATCCAAAACTTTTCTCAGGAAATCACAAAACTGCTCGTTCTCATCAAGCGTTTCAATTCTTCCCATTTTTCTGAACGCATTGAAGCAATGGTAATAGCTTTGATAGACCTGATTAATGTGGTGGTTGTTTATCACGCTGTAATCGAGACTTTGCAATTCTCGAATTTTCAGGCTTAACCTAACAGGCAGCTCTGTTCTGACAAAATTTGCACTGCTTATCAACTTTTCTTTGGTAAGCTTTTTACCAAAGTTTGCCAGATGCCTTAAGGTTACAGGATGAGCATCTCTTTCGGACCAGCCAAGAAGTATAGAGTTTTGATAAAAATGCTGTTCATTCAATAGGGATGACGCATGCGATTGGAATGGAGAAAGTGAAGCAACTTTCGTCGCTGCCTCCCCAAATCTGATGCTTCTGGACATCTTCCCTTTTTTACTCAAAAGTTTGCACTGCTTCGTCCAACAAAATCGACCAGGTTTATATGTTATCGTGCCGCAGCAATTGAAGACTCATTGAAACTGATGCAGATTTTTTTAGGATTTGACCGGCATCTGAAACGATATTGGTGCACTGCCAACCTTTCTGATAAGCCAAGTAGAAATATCTATTTTTCTTTTAGTCAGCATCTATCTATTAATATGGGAGAAATTTTAGTCTTAGCGGCTTTTTTCGTAAGCCGCGTTCGTAAAAGCATTTGTTTATTGTACGGAAACTTGTATGAAGAAATATTAAAACTTCTAAAAGGCCATGCACTGGTTTCTTATTGCCCTCACCTTTGTGCCGCACGCTGCTTCCTTAAGTGCTCCCAACAATTATGAATATAGGTTGTCACAGGAGAACGCTAAAGAATCATTGATGCACGATATATTCGGCTCTTTGATGCATGACAGCAACATTATTGCGGAACGAAATGGAGCTCATCGAAACGAGCAACTGCTTGAGCAGCAGGAAGCTTCGCCCATATCTTTTCCATTCAAAATGAATCAACTTCACTATCCGGATATTGATGATCTTACAGACTTCAAGCAGCGAGGACCCTTATTTTCAGGTATTGTAACTTTCGCCCATCTCCCCCAAGATGAATGCTTCTTCGCTAGAGAGCCAATTGATATTGCGATTGTCGGAGCTCCATTCGATTTGGGAGTTTCATATAACAGTGGAGCGAGGTTCGGACCGAACGGTGCCCGTCAAGGATCGCGAAGGCTAGGAGGTGGAAACAGCCCAATAAGAGGTAATTACCGCGCTTCGAAACTCAGACGCCTCGACCCTTACAATGCAGGACTTAAATTGGTAGACTGTGGAGACGTTCCAATGACTCCGTTTGACTCCAGAATAGCTTTGAATCAGCTCTATCGAGGTCACCATGCGATTCATAAACATTCAAGCTTCAACTCCACGCAGTTCAATAATACGCGTATTGTCACCTTAGGTGGCGATCATACGATCACTTTGATGAACTTAAGGTCAGCATATGAAACCTTTGGTGATCCAGGGGGGCTTGCGGTAATCCATTTCGATGCTCATATCGATACATGGGATCCAAAAGTTTTGGGCGGAGGAATCTCGGATTACGCCAGTCTGAACCACGGTACGTTTTTACATTTTGCTGCTGAAGCTGGCTACGTAGCCAAAAATCACAGCGTTCACGTCGGAATCAGGGCTCCGTTCATTTCAGGGATAGACGAAAAGCATGATGCTGTGGACTGTGGCTTTAAAACCCTCACTTCTAAGGACGTGGATGTGTACACGGCAAAAGGAATTGCCGAAATTATTAAATCCATCGTCGGACATCGTAAAGCTTACCTCACTTTTGACCTTGACACATTTGACGTTGGTTACATCAACTCGGGTACCTTGGAAGCTGGAGGACTCAGCTCAAGGGAAATCTTGACAATTTTGGATGGTTTGGAGGGCATAAACTTAGTTGGTTGCGACATTGTGGAGGTTAGCACTGCACCTAATACTGTGAATAGTGCTAGTACAGAGCTCTTAGCCGCTCAGGTAGTAGATTCAATGCTGGGGCTAATGACTGTTTTCGACCAGCCTGAATAGCACTCCCAAGTTCTACGGGTATCGTCAGTAAGTATGGAGGATTTGAGATTTTAAGGTCCACTGTATAAAGACAGCGCTGCGTCGTTGAGTCATTGATCAACCAAGCAAACTTCATAACGTAACCCTGCTTTTCTAGGAACGTAAATTATTGTCGTGGGAATACAATTGATTTAATAGGGGCTCGTAACCATGTTTGTGGAACAGCATAGCTGAAAGCAGCCTCAATTTTAAACGATAAATTGCAAGAGAGGAATTGAATTGTCACCTGCATTATAGATTGCAAGAAATTTGTGCAATAGTTTGGGAATCTACAATATGGTAAGTATATGGTGGTCTAAAACTGAAATGACCGAGCTTTGCTATAAGTGCATTAAGTTCTGCGATCTCTGAAGCTTATCCTCGGGATTTTTGATTTATTGTCGTTTACTAACCTCCTAACAGGCTGGTGCTCTAGAGAATGCCCGTAAAGCTATCCAAAAACTATCTTTGGATGCTGACGAGTCACTTTATGGTCAGATATATTCTGTTTCTGGTCCAGTGGTTGTTGCTGAAAATATGATTGGGTGTGCCATGTACGAACTCGTTAAAGTGGGCCACGACAATCTTGTCGGCGAAGTTATCAGAATTGATGGTGACAAGGCAACTATTCAAGTTTATGAAGAAACAGCAGGAGTCACCGTTGGAGACCCTGTTTTGAGAACGGGAAAGCCTCTCTCGGTAGAGCTTGGCCCTGGATTAATGGAGACGATCTACGATGGCATTCAGAGGCCATTGAAGGCGATCAAAGACGTTTCACAATCGATTTATATCCCGAGAGGAATTGATGCGCCAGCTTTGTCGCGTACCGCAGAATATGAGTTCTGTCCGGGATCTTTAAAGGTTGGAGACCATATAACAGGCGGCGACATTTTTGGTTCTACGTTTGAAAACTCCTTAGTTTCAGATCATAAGATCCTACTGCCACCGAGAGCGAGAGGTACAATTGTTTCCATAGCGGAACCTGGCTCTTACCATGTGAATGATCCTGTGCTCGAAGTTGAGTATGACGGAGTTAAACATGAGTACTCTATGATGCATACGTGGCCTGTGAGAGTTCCTAGACCTGTCGCTCAAAAGCTTTCAGCAGACTATCCATTGCTTACAGGCCAACGAGTTCTTGACTCTCTGTTTCCTTGTGTTCAAGGTGGTACGACATGTATCCCTGGTGCGTTTGGGTGCGGTAAAACTGTTATCTCACAATCGCTTTCGAAATATTCCAATTCTGATATCATTATTTATGTTGGCTGTGGCGAAAGAGGCAACGAAATGGCAGAGGTTCTGATGGAGTTCCCAGAGTTATTCACTGAACAGAATGGCCAGAAGGAGCCAATCATGAAACGTACGACTTTGGTCGCCAATACCTCTAACATGCCTGTGGCAGCGAGAGAAGCATCCATCTACACTGGTATTACATTGGCCGAATATTTCAGAGATCAGGGAAAAAATGTTTCCATGATAGCAGATTCTTCCTCCAGATGGGCAGAAGCTTTAAGAGAGATTTCTGGTCGACTAGGAGAAATGCCAGCAGATCAAGGTTTCCCGGCTTATTTAGGAGCTAAGCTGGCCTCATTCTATGAAAGAGCAGGCAAGTCAGTCGCTCTAGGCTCTCCAGATAGGCTTGGTTCGGTCTCTATTGTTGCTGCTGTGTCTCCTGCAGGAGGTGACTTCTCAGATCCAGTCACCACTTCTACCCTTGGTATTACCCAAGTTTTCTGGGGTTTAGATAAGAAATTGGCACAAAGAAAACATTTCCCTTCTATCAACACGTCTATTTCGTATTCAAAATATACGAATGTTTTAAACAAATATTACGATGCCAACTACCCAGAATTTGCGACTTTGAGAGACAAGATCAAAGAGATTATTTCCAATGCTGAAGAACTAGAGCAGGTTGTTCAGCTTGTTGGTAAGTCCGCTTTATCAGACTCAGATAAAATTATTTTGGATGTTGCCAACCTTATCAAAGAAGACTTTTTGCAACAAAACGGCTACTCCACATATGATGCGTTTTGCCCAATTTGGAAGACTTACGATATGATGAAAGCCTTTGTCACTTATTATGACGAAGCGCAAAAAGCTGTTGCAAATGGCGCTCAGTGGTCCAAGCTTTCCGAAGCCACAGGTGATGTTAAGCATGCAGTGTCATCTGCTAAGTTTCTTGAACCTAGCAAAGGAGAGGCTGCTATTTCGGAGGAGTTTGATAAACTCTTGAGCAGTATTTCTGAAAGGTTCCAAGAGGCCGCTGAGTAGCTCTTGTATACATGGTTCTGATCTCAGTAATTAGTAACAAAAATCCAAGCTGATCAGAGTGCTTTCGTTTTCGTTTTTCTTTTTGTTGTTTTCGGTACAGACACGAACTTTATATATAGTCGCTGTTTTCTTCTATTAGTTGATATAAGCACAGCTTTGCTTTGTGACCGCAGTTACGGTAACTATTAGGGAGGAGCTTGATCATGAATTTTCTGGCTAAGACCCTTAATTCTACCATTGGTACTTTAACGGGTAGCTCAATTCCATATGATCTAGGACAGAGAATTGTCAATGGTGTTTGCAGTGATTCTTTGGAACCAAACTCTGTGTGGAATGTTTATGAAGGAACGTCTCGAAAAGAGCCTAGTACGCGGGTAACTGTATTTGAGTTTGATCTCAAAAATCCCCGAGCTTCTAGATATGTGCTGTTTGCAAGAAATGCATTCAAGAAGCTTAGATCTTTAAGTCTCTTACCAGGAATTCTAAACGTCGTTGATTTTATTGAGAACGATTCATTCCTCTACATAATAAGTGAAAGAGTGAAGCCGTTGGGAAATGTATTGGTGATGGGCTCGTTTGATAAGATGCCTCAATGTGAATTTCTTCTACTGGGAATTTATCAAATTACAGTAGCTTTGAAATATCTCAACAAAGAAGGATCATCCATTCATGGCTCGCTATGCAAAAACTCTATATTCGTGAATGAAGCAGGGGAATGGAAACTTGGTGGCTTCGAGCTTGTCGTGAATATTCAAGAACGTGATTCACAGATTCTAAGCCAAGCATTTGATTTGCCTTCTTATCAGTCGACTATACACCCACCTGAGTTGAATGAACAGGGACTGGACTACATTTCACGCGCCAGCCTGACTCAAATCTTGAAACTTGATGCTTATTATCTGGGATTCTTCATTTATAGCCTCTTCAATTCTGAAGTACAGAGGCCCGATCCTCCCCAACTCAATAAGCCGAACAAACTTCCAATATCTCTTGCATCGCACGTGAAAAAGCTTCTTCATAAATCACCATCCGTAAGATATTCCGTGGAAGAGTTTTTGAATGCTGGAATGCAATCATGCTTCAATTTACCATTGATCAGTGTGTCGAAACAAATTTCCGAGCTCAGTTTCAAATCTAATGCTGAAAAACTGGAGATATTTAGCTCCTTAGATGAATTTGAACAATTCCCTGATGGGTTCTTTGAGTATAAGGTTTTGCCAGAGCTCATCACTACCTTTCAGTCTTTGTTGACCAACCAAGACAACCAGCAGTCTGCTCTCTTACTGCTGATTTTAAAGCGCGTAGATCAATTGGATGAAGGAACTTTCCAGCATCAGGTTAAACCTCTTGTATTGCGAGCCTTTGAACTACCAGATAGAGCAATCCGGATTACACTTCTCAGTTCGTTACCAACAATCATCAATTATTTTCAACCTTACGAAATTCAAGATCGAATCTTTCCAAATCTGGTTCAAGGCTTCAACGATACCAATTCTTCAATAAGAGAAGCTACAATAAAGTCAGTGCTTCCAGTTGCAGATAAGCTTTCGGGTCGACAAGTCAATAATGATATCTTGAAGTACATGGCAAAACTTCAAAACGACCCAACGCCAGAAATCAGAGCTAATACTATAATTTGTCTATCCAAAATCGCATCTTATATGAATCCTTCTTCGAGAACTCCCGTACTTATCACTGCATATTCCAAAGCATTAAAGGATCCGTTTGTACCCTCTCGGATAATCTCCTTGCTTGCTTTCGAAAACTCTATTGAGTATTTTCCTCCAGAGGTGTGTTGCTCAAAAGTTCTGTCTGCTATCGCTCCTGCTCTGTTAGACAAGTCATCGAAGGTGAGAACAGAGGCACGGAGAGTGTTCAACTTGTACTTTTCGAAAATCGATGAAGCTGCCAATCAGCTACCATTAGACAGTGAGGAGACTATACATCTGGAAAGCCAGGATTCAGAAAATATACTTGCTCGCTTGGATACGCTATCCCTTTCGGGTGTGAAACTGAAGAATACGCAATCATCATTATTAGGCTTGGGGCCAAATGCAAGTTCAGGATCTACGGTGAGCCTAACAATGAAAAATCTGAGCCCAAGCTCAGAGTCTTTAAATGTTGGTCGGCCCTTGAAAAGCTTATCAAATGCGGATGTCGAGGAGAATTGGGATGCCATGGATGACGAATGGCATTATGCTTCCGACTGTGAAGACAAGCCAGTACTTCGACATTTGGAGGTGACTCAAAACCGTCAAGAAAGTGAAAAGCTCAAAACAGCTCTACGGCTAGACAAAGGCGACCCGAAAACACCCAAAGGATCGCTCAAGTTACAACCGAAATCCAAACTGAAGCTTAACTTGGATGACGATGATGTTGATGGTTGGGAGGGTCAGTGGTGACTTTCAACATGGGTGAACGTGGCTCAAAGTTGACAAAAGTGTATATATATAATATCAGATCTTACAATTTTTTGCTACAAAAAAGAATATTGCTCCTTATCAGGGGCTCGAACCCTGGACATTTCGGTCGACTTCCGAATAAAATCCCTAAAAGCCGAACGCTCTACCAACTGAGCTAATAAGGATAAAGCACTCAGTTTTTCCTACATGATGTATTCATAAAGCTTATATTCACGGACACAGATGGGGAGCAAGTGAAGAGATATCACGAATATATGTGGACGTAGCTTTGTTTGATCATAAGTGAAGTGTATGTGAAGCAGATCGCAAGTTTCCCGAAATGAATTACTTGCATTAACATAGGCGTATGATATTATATCCTAGTAGGTATGAGTCAAATATTTGCTTCAAATAAATACTCACAACTGTAATTCTTTTTATTGTACGTAGGCGATCACAGATCAGGCAATCTGGTTAATGCAGCTGTAGGAAGGGGAAGACCAGGACCGGTCTAGTCTTGCTTACACAAGATAATCATCCATCTAACGTGGGTCGGAAGAACCGTAGTTCCAGATAAAACGCGTTGGACTACAATTTCTGAAATAGGGCACTACTTTTTGCGTGGATACCTTCAAATTTCATGTCCAGATCTTAGCGGAAAATCTAAACCTGACAAATCCTTAAGGGAGAACCTTGGAATGATCGGAATACCTCTAAAACTAATCAACCAAGAACCAAGCATGAACTCCTAAATTATACCCACCTTACTCATTTTTGCAGTTCTACCAACTGTTGGTGCCTACGATTTCAAGAATGAGCTTGTAGTCCATAAATATGTGTCATATTAGTTGGTTGATATTTCCTGTGTTAGCTTTATGCAAAGTTGTAAGTATAGTTGTGCAAGTGTCACAAACAAGAATTGAGCACATGTGTTTGATCAGCTTATTGGAGACTGTTTCAACACATTGGGTACTCGTTATCTCAGGTGTGTAGTCTGTTAATGTAGTTATTTATTCTATCCCCAGTTGAAAGGTATTCACCTCAGCTGCCGATTGTATGCTCCGATAAGCAAATGTTCCATAATATACCCAAGTGTACATCTAAACTGGAAGTAGATATCTTAGCAAGAAAGCAAAATGTTTTCCTAATTTCATGCCCACATGCATTTGCATCCTTAGTGATTAAAGGGTAAACCCCATTCTCTAGGTATGTCTGATCGATTTTTTGTTTCAGAGCTTGGGGTCTTGTATGGCCATTTGTTTCACATTATAGATAAAAGTACAACCCAGAATTAATTGCGGGTACGTTCTTATCAAGCTTGAAATCTTATCTTTGATGTTGAACTATTCCATAAATAAAACTGTGTTATTACTTTTCCTATTTGTTAGTCTTCTCCATCAACTATAATGAAAATGAACTGTTCACATATGTCTGAAGATTAATCATTCGTACTAGTTTTTGATTTGCTATCTCCATTTGCCGGTACCCAAAAACAAATCAAAAATAAATGCTATGATATTTTAATATAAACAAGTAGTGATATTAAATACTCTATCTATCCTCCTCTAATTTTCAAAATGGATATGTAATTTACTTTGGTAAGCACCTATCATAGGCCAGAACGGTCTACGAAACAGTCTGATCATGGATAATGATCAACGGTAAGCGGTTGAATCCTATTCATAAGATCTGATTCATGGATCAAGAGCAGAGGTCTAAATAGTAGCATGACATATATTCCCAAAAACCTAAACGCCGTGTAATCGTACTCCCTTGATCATCAAAAAACATATATCAAAAAACATATAATTACCCTATAGATGGATATTTGATTTAGCAATAAGAGGACAACTGGGACAATGGAAGAATACGAAAATTTCTCTTCTCTTCGGTTCACCTGTTTTAACACGGATCTAAAATTTATTGTATCTTATTAAATCCCTTTGAATATTAGCTAATAATAATATTCTATATATTGGAGTTTTAGATGAATAATCTAGGATGGACTTGTACGGTGTTCATTCCTGTTTGACTAATTGACTCGTAGAATTGTTGAGAATTTTCTGATGATGTGATCGGGATCCTTATTGCAAGCTATTCCACGACTCGAACATATGGAAACACCTCTATAAAACTCTTTTCAGTATCATCAAAGGATGTACAGATGGTATCATAACTGCACGCACACGATAGGTATTATTATAGGTGAGCTGCATACCTTTCAACTAGAGTACAAGGCAGGGATAGGCTATCAGGATACATGGCTATAGCCAAAACTGTTGGAATTTACTTTTGATAAGTGTAATGTCTACAGTCATTATACTTCCTTCAATAGTGTGACTATGTATTAGATGGTTAATATCTTTGGTATACCTAACTCCCTCACTTATAAGTGGGGTATAGCATATCCTTATATATTATTTGGATAGTCTCATATGTGATTCAGATTTGTATCATTTGGATCTGATGCACATACTATGCATGTGCTAAACCACAAACCTTCATATTAGGATAAGCCGCACAGCCATAATATAATCTATTGACTATCTTATCTCAACAAAAATAACTCTTTCGTGCGGAACACTGAAAAACACACAGTGTGTACGCGCTCTATCGTGTTTCAAGTCCACTGAACCGCATAATATCCTTCATGTTGAGTGTCCCTCCTGGCCTCTGTCTTCTCTACTCCAAAAAATTGTGCAAGTCCTTCTCTCTCACATGTCGATATAAGAGACCTTGGGAAAATTGGTATTTGGTTTCTTTCGGCATGAACGTCTACGTGTCTGCTCTGCTTCTCTCAAACTCTTCTCCTATTCATCATTTTTTTCTACCACTTATATTGGACTTCAGTTTTGCTTGCAATGCTATGACTATTCTGTGTTTGCCCGCCACTGCAATTCGAATAGAGGACCCGCACGATTATTGCCGTTTGCTGTTAACAACGATCAAATGGTAACGCATTTGTTTCCAAATTGAGCACAAACGTGCACACGTCAAA